GTCGTTGAGAAACAAGTGAATGATGCCACAGTCTGCATCAGTGGCCACAGTAGTTCGTTAACTTGAACTAAGGACCCTATCGACAACATAAACAACTTGCTCATCAACCAGCAAACCAGAGGGAGGGAATTGATTGGAGAGAAGTAACCAACCCAGTTTGAATTGTCGTTGGGAAACAAATGAATGATGCTAGATAGTGCACCAAGGTCCACAGTAGTTCGTTAAACTAAAGATCTTATCGATCCCACAAACACCTTGGCCATAGACTTTTAAGCCACAACGTTGATTAGAGAGACCTAACCTACCCAGTCTGATCTGTTGGGATGCAAGTGAACGATGTCACAGACTGCATTGCATGTAAGGGTCACAATAGTTCGTTAAACTAAGTATCCTATCGATCCAGCAAACACCTTGGTTATTGACGTCTTAGCCACAATGTTGATTGAGTAGAGGTATAACCCAGTTTTCAAGACTGAACGTCTCGCTCTATTTGATTTCTCGTTAGGAAAGAAATGATGTCGTAAACTTTTTACGGTGCACTATGTATGTTGAAGACCAGGAAAGGCAAAGGCATATACTTACCGAATTCCAATGTTAGTAAATGTACTCCCTGTGTGGCAATTCCCCCACCCCAGCTATTTCAAAAGTGCTGCCCAGTTGTTAGCTGGGTAACAAATGTTTTTACGTCGTAAAATGTTTTATAGAGCGCAATACTTTCGGAATTAGAAAAGGCTAAGACATCCATCTACCAAACAGGCAATTTCTTTACACTGCTCTTAGAGGGCGTCGTCTATATTCTATATGCGTTACTCTGTTTCAATTGTTGTATGTCGTACTTTTGAGATTTTGATACTTCTACCAACGCGCAACACATATTTAAAACTACGAAATCCACAAACAATCATCTATGAAATACACAGTTTCTGTACTATACAACGTCCTTAAATACCCCCGGTTCTAACCGTATATTTTCCCCTGATGAAATGCGTGAATGGTCCAATGGCTCTACCCCTGGAAGGGTTATTGGTTCTCTCCACGGCTGTAATTCACCCAAAGCACGCACTTACAGTCTAGATAGATGGCAGGGTTTACAATGCTCCACACGAAGCCTGTGGTAGCTGATAGACTAGGCCTAGAAAAGATGTTGTGTTTCCTGTTTCTCGACCGACCATAGAAAAACTGCCGACCTTAGACTTAGCCTTTTTTTGTGTAGGCCCTGTAAGGGGCAGACATTCTTAGAGCTAATCAACCTTTTCTGACACCTGAGTGATGAAACATTGAAAATATAAGTGTTCTCTTGCAAGTTCTACTTTGTTAAACTGTATTGTATAAGCAAGGGGCTCCTTGGTATATGCTGAATCACTATAGAGATCGCCAAAGTCTAAAATAAAAGAAAAACGATAATCCCTATCTACCTACCAACATCATTTAAGAACAAAGGACAGTTTCAAATCAGGACTGGTCAAGAATTTCCATGCTAAAACAATTGCAAGGTAGACGAAATCAATATAACTCAAGTTAAAGCATATGAAACTGTGTAAATTTAAATGTCATTTTAATGATTGTAAAGCATGTAGGATGAAAATTGTGTAAGTATCAAGTATCAAGTACCTACCGACCCTAATTTTTTCAGGGCTGAAACAGGAAACACAACATTTTTTTCCTAGGCCCTAGAATGCTCTTCACGCAGCCTGGGGGTAACTGATAGACTGGCTGTGGCGTTCTTTTTAATCCCAGGAGAAAGCAGGAGAATCACAAGGCGAAGCTCAAAGCTAAGGCAGACATCTTTAACCTGCACAAACACGTATCACGTCTGGCCTGGTCGCCCTCGGGGTGTCCTTCAAGAATGTAGATAAGGCAGTCGCATTCCGGAAGGACGAACCGCACCTGTATGCATGATTTATGTTATCTCTATATGGTGTGGGAAGAAATATTCTTCCTGGAGATGTCGAAAGTAGACCTATTAGTTTTCCCCATTAAAAAAAAACACATGGGAAAATGGGGAAAACTGAAGAAATTGTATGTAATTGGGGTTGACTTTTTTCTTTGCAACACTTTGTTATATCATTTACTGTTTTTTATTTAGTTTTGTTGTTTTGCATGTGGTTTCTTTTGGTTATGTTGTTCTTTGTGCCATGCTCTCTTTTGTGTACATTTTTGAAAAAAAATAATAAAAAGAATGGTTCATAAAAAAAAAGAATGTAGATAAGACATTCGCATTCCGAAGGGACGAACCGCACCTGTATTCATGATTTATGCTATCCCTATATGGTGTGGGAAGACATGTTAGGATAGAAAAGTAATTTTTGTCCTACTCACTGATGCATTAACTTCGAAGAGGCCCTAGGCTCTTGTGCAATTCAAGTAAGACATTATCATGGAAGAAATACTAGTAGTAGGATATTATGTAATGAAAATGAAAATGACGGAAGAATCCATCTAATGTAATGAAAAAAAACGTAAAAAAAATAGACATTTTCTGTAATGTAACAGGCTGAAACTCGGATTTCGTTAACCTATGACTGGCTTCGAGACAAATTCAGCATTCAAATAAGAATATCTATATCTGAATTCTCCCCTCGTCGTTCCAAAATATCATCCATTCAACCTCATGGCACTCAATTTGGTCAAATTGCCACAAAGACATCATCAGCGATTTCCATTCAGGTATCAATTTAGATTTGAGCAAAACAAAATACATTGATTCTGAGGTATGTCGTAGACATTGTTGAAGCTGCAACCAAATGCGGCATCTTGCTACATATACCATTCACCTCACACACGTTTCAAGGGAACCTGTCATCCAAGTAAAGGGCCTATTATTGTACACAGTAAAGCCAGATAAACTATTCAGATAGTATAGACAAGCAATCCCGTCATACATGCAGCTGCCTCAAGTTAGATTTCATGGAAAGGCGACACGTAGCTCTACGTGTAGTATGTCATAGACACCGTCATAATTGCGAACTATTGAAACCAAAGACGGCATCATTCATATAACGCAGCATGTTTTTTCGACAACCTGCCATCCCTATCAAGGGCAAATTATTGTACACGATTAAGCCAGATAAGCGATTCCGTTGTATTCAACTATGTCTCAAGTTAGATTTCAGCGAAAGGCGTCACATTCAACGTGTCTTACACACCGGGAACCGTTATAATGGCAATTGCAATATCAAAGACGTCATCTTGTTTCTCGACAATATGCCATCCCTATGAAGGGAATATTAAGCTGTGTCTCAAGTTAAATTTCAGCGAAAGGCGCCAGGTAATGTGTCTAAGAAATTGTTATGATTGCAGCCAAAGGCGGATCTTAGACAGTCTGAGTCGGGGCATCATTCCCAGCACGCAGAACGGTTCTTGGGAAGCTGCCATCGCTATGACAGGAAAATTGTTAATACTATCAACCCAGATACGCCCTACAGAGAGTATAGACTGGCTTTTCCGTTGTATTAAACTGTCTCGAGTTAGATTTCAGGGAGAAGCGTCACGAATGTCTACATGTTATGTGTCTTAGTCAGTCTGAAGCGGAGTATCATTCCTGGCACGCAGAACGGTTTTTGGGAAGCTGCCATCGCTATGAAAGGAAACATTGTTACACTATCAAGCCAGTTAAGCTCTACAGACAGTATAGACTGACTTTTCCGTTCTATTCAGCTGTGTCTCAAGTTAGATTTCAGTGAAAGGCGTCACGTAGGTTTACATGTAATGTGTATTAGACACCATTTTGATTGCAGTCTATTGCAACCAATTGAAAATACGGCACAGCCATCATTCACATCATGCAGCACGTTTCTCGACAACCTGCCATCGCTATGAAGGGAGAATTGTTAACTATCAAGCCAGATAAGCTCTACATATAGTATAGACTGACTTTTCCGTTATATTTAACTATCTTAAGTTAGATTTCAGGAAAAGGCGCCACATAGGTTTACATTTAACATGTCTTAGACAGTCTGAGGCGGAGCATCATTCCCAGCACGCAGAACGGTTCTTGGGAAGCTGCCATCCAATCATGTTTGCGCTGGAGCGCGGAGACTGTGATCCGGTCACGACTCGATGACTCCCGGAGATTGCCGCTGCGCAACAGACCCTGTCTGGTTGCTGATTGCAGCCCCGTGTGAATAAATTATTTTATTTACACTTTTTTTTGCACATTTACAATTTTAGGCTCGCGGTTCATATCGTAAAAGCATTAAAAAGACATACCAGAAATAACTGCAGATATAGATCAAACATAACAATGGCTAGACAAATAATGATGACAAGCTATTTGTTTATTTCAAGCACGTGGTCCATATCGTAACAACATTTAAAGACATACAACAAATAACTACAGATACGTCGGTGAAGTTTAGACATCCAGGTAATAAGATATGCCAAAAACAGTTACTAGACCGGTTGCTTGTCAAATAACTTTATTCTTAATAGCTGCAGATGTATATAAAGCAGAATAGTACCCAAACAATGATGATGACAAGCTATTTGTAAACAAGGTTGAGGTAACTGTAACAGAAGTTACTGGGTGTGAAAATGTCAGAGTGGATTATATGTTTTGCAATGCAATTGTTTGAGGTAAGAATACGATTAACAAAACGTAAGTTTTAATGGCAATTTTAAGGTTTCTGCTGCGCATCAGACCCAGTTAGAATGTTGATTGTAGTCTTGCCTATATTAAGGGCGCACCGTGCACTTGGGCATGATGCTACAGTTGTCGAGTAGGGGCGGAGTTACAGTCATCAATTGTGTCTGTCCCGACTGCGTAGCTGCTGCGTCTGGGTGAAGGTGATAGTGATCTCGACACAGTTAGCTCAATGGATTGGACTGAAATGACGTCTACTTAAGATGGAATCTGTTTCAGTTAGTTGAATATTCACCAATCAGTGACTGCAGTACGCATTTGCTATCTCTCAAAACAGTCACCGATTGACGAGTATTTTACTATCTGTTAACCTATAACCTGATGAACATCTTCAACGGAATCTGTTTCATTTTCACAGAGAGCCGAGAAAGAGTCAGGAGGGGAAGTTCACCTCCAACACAACCAAAAGTAAGTTTTACACAGTAATACACAGGGGAAATTTTCAATTGCCTTGGTTAGGGAAAATATGTACGGATACATATAAGATACTATAGTGGCTAGAAAAATAAAGCTTACAACTAGCTATTTGTAAACGTAATGGTGTCAAAATAACTGAGTGTGAAATACAATCATACACCAACCCGAAGAAATTATCTAAGGAGCTCTAATACTTTCTTGTTCTCCTGATATCGTGACAACGTTGAAAAGACAGACGTGCAAGAAATAACTACGGATGAATATGATACACAATAGTGGCTAGAACAATAAGGCTGACAGGCTATAGTCGATTATCGGTCTGTAATTCAACTGTTTGAGATGAGAATACAATAAGCAAAACAAGACATTCCTAACAGCTCTAAATGTTGTATTGTTCTCCCGTTGCCCAGGATGACGGCCACGGCATAAGAAAAGTGTCCAGAGGAAGCCCCGTCAGAGTCAAGCGGCCCTCCCCGGCAGGGACCGAGCATGCGCAGCAGCACATGTCCAGAAGCCTTCCGCACGAGTACATGCGCCACTTCCCCCAGGATGCCATGCGGCGGCAGGAGGAGCATGCGCAGAGCGCGGCGAGGCGGTCCCCGACACAGCCCCGACGACGTTACCGACAGCACCACGACACGACGGCCGACACCGAGCGGATCAAGACAAGATCATCTCCGGAAAAACACTCCTCCAGACAGACTCAAGATGGAGAAAAAGACAGAAGGCAAAGGCAGAGCTACACGAGTAGCGTATGATGTTGGATAAACCATCTGCGTTTAGATTTATTGAGGTTTGAAGGGCCAATGCAATGGCAAAAACGGAGGCTGACACGGCCCTAGTTGTACCTCAGGGTGGTCTACTTGAACAAAGGACCTCGTAAGCTCCTTTAACGACGCAAAAAGGCTACAAAAGGTGAAGATGAAGTCGAAAATAATTTCATCAGGTTGGTGATCAATTGAAGAGCAAAGTTCTTTATTCACAACCACTTGTTGAACAACAGCTGACGTTTCGATGACCGTCTGTCATCTTCATCAGGGCGATTATGTCCTGTTCCCTGTGCACTCAAGCTAAATGTTACTTCTAGCACCGCGGTTCCAAACTAGTAATTGTAACATATAGATACATTGTTACAACATAGCGAGATGCCAGTCATAATTGCCCTGATAAAGATAACCAATAGTCTTCGAAACACCGGCTCTTGTTAAATAGGTGTTTGTGAATGAAGAACTTTGCTACTCGATGGAGGTAAAGGTTTGCCATTTTGGGCACTGGTCAATGTGACAAGTTAATTGTGTACAAAAAGGTAGGAAGGTGTAGTAGTGGTCAATGATCACCAATTGGTGACAGATGTAAGAGTTTGGAAGTGTTTCAGAGGTACGATATATGTCAGAGGAGTTAATATGAGGAGGTAAGCTATGACGGTTGAAACTATTGCCCGTGCTGAGAGGCATTTATAGCATCGATGTGCTTTAGATGGGTGTCTTGTTAGTCCATGGTGCTAGAGTCATACCGAAGGGTAGTATTATATACACTACAACAATGACATCAACGTTAACAGCTTTATAATGTGTCAAGGGAAACCATTATTACACACTACGTGATTTATCAAATGTTGTGATGATCTTATGCAGCAAGTTTAAACTGTAATTTCCAACTCAAGAAATTGGACTCACCCAAATTTTCGACTGTACAACTCGAGTCTTTGTCAAGGAATGAACAATCCAACGCTTCCGTGACGTCACGCAGATAACACACGTGACTCCGTGAGCAGTGGATCATAGGTTGCAGAAAGTCTGTGACGCCCCCCGTCTCTGTTGAGGGATGGTTGTAATGCCCTGATGTAGATGGCCTCTTTAATCCTTCGTGCAAAGAAGCCCAATTTCTTGTGTTGGAAATTACAGTTTAAACTTGTTTCATAATGACTTCTACCAACACAGATGAACTTTCAAAATATGTTGTGATGATCTTATCCGCTTTTGTACGTACTGTGAATAGTGATGTCATGTATTTTGGAGGATGACGCCAAGTTTTTAGGTGGAAAACCTGTCATCATTACATGGAGTTTGTACATTAATCACTACTGTTGGTGTTCCTTGATGTTTAATGATGTAGATGAAATAAAATATGAAATACAACGTTATGTCGTTGAACTTTGAGGTACACAGTGTCGTCATTTGAATAAGTTATCTATAATACTGAGAGGACAGTTAGATATTTTTTATCTTTATATTCCAACATGTAATCACCAGACGTGGTGACAGCACACTCAAGTTTTTACAAACTTATATTAATGTCGCCACCAACACAGGGGACAAAACAATACTCATTTCCACTTGTTAAGTGAGGAAAGTCGTGTAAAGTGCCTTTCCCATGGGCACAAGATCGGTGGCATATCAGGACTCGAACCAGGGACCTCTTGGTTCCGAGTCGAGCACTCTGCCGCTACGCCACACGACCCCACATTTAAATAAGTTATCTATCATACTGAGAGGACAGTTACATTGATTATGATTAGTGCTTACAAACGAAACACATCGTCACAGACGCAGTACTACCAATTACTAGGCACGTTCATAAGTTGTTGCAGTAAATTTATACTGTAGAACGCTTCGCTTTTTTTCTGTTAACACTTGATGGTCCATGGCTGCTGCTGCTGAATTGTTTTATCCTGGTTACCAAACCTATCATACCTCCCGAGTCCTACAAAATAGCAGAGAGGATGTAGGACTCGGGGGCTATAATGGGTTTGGTAACCAGGCTAGAATTGCCAGAAAGCAGTTACTAAAGCAACTGGATATGATTTTGGCTAGAATTGTGTTTCTTTATTTTGAAATATTTACGCAGCCTTCTGCGAAGAACTAAGTCCCAGTTGTGCCTCTGCCACCTAAGGAGATAACAGGTACGTCTAGATATAACAAAAGGCTCGTTCCATTGTGACGCAGTAATATTCAAAATTTGATCCTTTTGTCTTGTTTGTTTTGGCTCGTGGCAGAAAACAAAGACGTCTTTCAGAACCTGTTGGAAGTGACTGAGTTCCTGAAGGAAATCCGACCCTCCAAGTTGAACCTGTTGCCACAACGAGCGATTGAAATGGTCGTAGAGCTCGTGGTCCACTGCGCTAGACTCTCTGTACTTTTCCTTCATTTCACCCGTGATAGGAAGAGATGTGTTCTTAGTTCTCTGTCGTTCTCTCTTGCCTAAATCGTATATTATATCGCTAAGAGACCAACACATCTTTCTCTTCAACAGGACTAACGAATGGTTGAGATGCTCGAGTATCAATATCGTGGAGAATTGCTCTTCGATCTTGCTAACAAACTCGGCTGGCGTGTCCAGTTTGTTGTATCCCAAGTCCTTAGCCATGCAGTTCTTCACACACCTCCCTGCATAGCATCTGGCTCGACGCCCTTTGAACGCCTTGTCCCATTCACTAGGGTCTTGTAGATACGTCATGATAGGCGGCTGGCCATTGGGGGCAGTTTTAGGCATGTTCCTGAAGTATCTCCACATGTTGAAGTAGTCAAACACCGAGTTAAGTCTCGCGATGGGGTCTCTTAAGATGGTGACGAACCGGGTATCCGGATGCATGTAGTGGTCGAAGGCGGTTTTGTTGAAGATGAAGTGATGCGCGAAGATGTTCCACATGGGATCTCCCGGAAGCCGGAAGATGTTTTTGTCCTTGATGACGGCCCCGCAGCCGATGTTGGGCCGGTCTCCCTTGCCGGGGAGGGCTGGGAGCAGGTCGTGTTTGTGGGCGTAGCGCAGGAAAAATGACTGCAGCGTGGAGGAGCCGCACTTGTACACCTTGATGAACGCGATGTTGTTGTGACGAGTGCAGGAAATGCTGCTTTTGGCATCCGAGGATCTTGGAAAGATACAGTGATAGGAATTAGCTTTGGTCAATGAATTCTGTTTAGTATGTCTGATAGTTTCCAGATGCATTACTATCCGGTGATGGATTTAAATGACAATGGCAGGAATTAGCTTTCGCCAATCACATTTGCTTCCAATCTCTGATAACGTTACACTGACTAATCTCCAGAATTAGACTTTAGAAACAGATGTTACCCGGAAGTTCCAAGTGACTAATCTCCAAGCAGATGTTTAGGTGGCGCAAAAGACAGTACCAAATTGGCCAGGCAGTATCAATTGGCCAGACTGTATCCATTTGTCACACATCTGCTTGGAGATTACCAAAGTGACATCCGTCACTCTTCTTCAGCGTCTAAGAGTAAAACTGACAGAACAAGTCAAACTCTGGTATATGAAAAGAAACTCACAGTATTAGTCATTCACATAACTCCTACTCATGTTGAGTGATTTACCTCGGAACCTAAACTATTCATACCTGTATACTAGCACTATATTTAGATGACCCTTCGCGACCCTACTGTGGTTAGGTGACACCCCTCAAAGACCTTAAGCTTTAACCGCTTTATCTTCTTTATCTTACAAAACAGCTTGACCTACCTAGGGTCATACCTTGTTGAGAAGTTGACAGCCGAGTTGAGTGTATCGTGCCCCAGGCCACGGGTCATCGACGAGTAAATTTCATCTCTTCCTTTCCGCAATCCTTGCCAAATGCTTCCCGATCGCAGCCCGACAGACTGGAGTATCAGGCAGACCGTCCCCGACAGAAGGACGAGCGCGCCGAGATATGTTTTGATCGTTCTCAGACCTCCGAGTTCCATGCTGACTGTGTAAGAAACAGAAGGCGAGCAGTAGAAACAGATAAAAAGCCTCCTGGTCCCTGGTTCGAACCTACGACCTCCCGAGCACCAGTTACAAATCCGACGCTCCTACTGAATCGGCTAAAAGGTCTAGACCCATCGGCCGGGTCAGTTGGTAGGGCCTACGAATCCCCACTGTTACAACTGCACGAGCCTCGAACAGTAGATCCTGGTTGTCTTCAGTATGCAAATTCCAAGAGTTGCAATTTGTTCTCGTAAATCATGCCAAAACTGATACAGTATCCACCTGTTTATGTAATCCAACACCGTGCTGACATAGTAGCGAGTCATCCTTTTACATTAACCGGCATAACCTTGTTGATCTGGTAAATGTAAGAAAATAAATCATTAAATTCTGCTAGACTCAATGCTGGTAAAGATCTCGATAAATAATGCATATTTAGGGTCTTTGTTCCTCTGACCTTTCACCTCCGACCTGACCTCAGGCAATGTGACCTTCAGACAATCAAACGTTCTATTTTAGCTGCCATGTTCGTCTTCATAAAGATGGCAACATCAAAAGAAGCAATTTGTTATCAAATTTGAGTACTCACTGTCAAAAGTAGGCCGATGAGATATCAATTGTTTTTGAATGGGGGTCAGGGCGACATTTGTGTAGTGAGGAGAGATAATTCACAGTATCATCGTTCCCTGTCGGACCGGTTTGGTTACATCAAGACACTACTGAGAATAGGGGGGGGGGCGATCTGGACAGCTTTTAATGACAATTTTACAGTTCAGTGAAGACGTCCTGTTTTGAGTTCTGTGTCTCCTTTCTTTTGTCTCTTTCCGAAACAAAGCTAACTAAATTATCGGTGGCCCTTTAATTGTAACTAAAGACACAATTAGGCAACTCTCGTAATCATAAACAACCAATTCTGAAAGGCTCCTTACGAAGAAAATATCATGTAGACACATTGTAACATTTTATGCACACAAGGAACCGGACAGAAAATTATTACTCTCCAAGCAGAGGTTGTGGGGGAATGATCGTTAGCTTTTTATATATGACCATTTTTGTCGCTACCCCCTTCTCTGACTCTGGCTAATGGATACTGTCTTGCCACCGAATAGAAAATCATTAGTTTGCTGCTCACGAGCATAATTTGTCGTCCTTTTCCTCAGCACAAGGCCTTGTGACAAACCTTGCTGTAAACGGTATGGCCTTGCGAGTGCACGTGTGATTACCTGCACGAATCCACCCAGCCGACTGTAGCGCTCGGAAAGGTTAGCTCTGACGCTCGCGGCATTCTGCGATAAGGACAGAATACCGACGCGAGGTCAGAAGATCACAAACCACGTCACTACCTCTCACATCTGAGTACCAAACAGGCTTTGTTTAAGGCCATATCTGCATCATACAGAATGGTTATGACTACTCTAGTTCAAGGTGTTTTGTGAGAGTGCTGTGGAGGTAATTTTGATGCATTACGGAGAGCTGACGGCTGGTATTAGGTTGAATGCTGCACATGCATGAGTGATTCTGATTGCGGGTAATTGGAGCTGTTGTAGTGTGTTTTGGTCGTGTGCACCGGGGCGTAAAATTGTGCTGACAGTAGGGAAAACGTCACCAGGATATTTTGCAGTTATGCATGTCATTATTATATATATATATATTTCACATTATTAAAAAAAAACAGAATTTGCTATTACCCTACCGTGGGAGTGGTCGACAATTCAGACAACTTACTACTGTACACAACAAAGGTAACAACATGGTGGAAATTAAAGGCATTTTATTAAGAACTAAATGTAAATATGTATACATCCTCAATCACATAGCACCAGTCATAATCAGTAAAAATACTAAATGTTATAATTATATTGTAATATGTAAAATCCCCTTTATGTATAAACAGTAAACAAAATAGTACAGTTTCCATGATACGTTATAATGGTTGAACAAATATTTATACACATGTACTATAACATTTGCCTATCTCAGTAGCAAATAGCAACTACATATATCCCAGCTGAAAATATAAACAAACAGTTACATTATGAAACACTACCTAACTTTTCTCGAACACAAGAAGTACGTTTTAACTTAAACTGTAATATTGCGTCCTTTTACATCAACAGGCCAGCGGTTTCCGAAGCTTTTCTTTGATTCTACTTTTCCATAGTGAATCTCTTGCATACCTCTAATATTCTCATCCCAAGCTAACCTGTTAAACCTAAGCTTGGTACACAAGCTCCAAGTGATGTAAATCTCTTTGTTATATTCTGTCGCTTCCACGATCTTAAAGTTACCATCATCTTCTTGGCACCTCTCATTAACTATGCGCAAGATTCGCTCAAACTCGTACACCTCTTCAAGAAAGTCTCGACCCTCTAAGCTGATCTGTCGCCAAAGCGACGCGTTAAAGTGTTCATACAGGTGATAGTCGATTCGGCTAGACCGCTTGTACTTGGAGACCATTTTCTCGGTGAAGTGTTCCTTCTCTTCGTAGTTGGTCATGTCGTCCTCAGCAGACACCCAGTACAGGATATCCTCCATCTGCCAACACATTCTCCTCTTCAGCAGCACCAGGGAGTGGTTGAGATGCTCCAGGATCAGCAGAAGGGTGAAGTCCTTGCCGAGGTTGTGGATGAAGGTGTCGATGGCCTCCCCATCTAGCTCTCCAGGAGGTAGACCCAGGTCCTTCGCCATGCAGTCCTGTACGCAGGCGTCGTGTTCGAAGCATGTGGCGGGGTGGCTGAACTTGTTGTCCCAGTGGGCGGGGTCTCGAAGATACTTCATCAGGCCCGTGTCGTTCTCTTTACCCTCCAGGCCGGGGAAGTACTGCTCTAGCCGCAGGGCATAGAACACTGACCTGTGGCAGGTTATTAAAAGTATTATTGAATGAATGTATGAATGAATGTATGAATGAATGAAAGAATGAATGAATGAATGAATGAATGAATGGATGAATGAATGAATGAATGGATGAATGAATGAATGAATGAATGAATGAATGGATGAATGAATGAATGAATGAATGAATGAATGAATGAATGAATGAATGAATAAATGAAGACCTTTATTGTACAATTTGGTCCCGCTGGGCTAAGCACAGTTCACCAGATTACAACCATATACATATACATATAACTGTTACATGTATAATAAACGTCTAATGAATGTATCATAGTCTTTTCAACTTCTTCTCGCTTCTATTGAGCAACATAGAAACGTACAGGACACATGTACAGTGGTGGGCAACTCTAGCACGTTGCTAATCTTAGCCTCACTACTGAAAATAAAAAGAGTACATACAAAACCTATTGTTTGCCATCTTTTCAATGCACAATGCAGATAAGAAAACAGACTAACCTGAGGCGGTTGATGGGCTTTCTGAGAATGCCCACGAAGCGGGTGTCCTCGTGCATGAAGTGGTCGAAGTTGGACCTGTAGAAGACACATATAACATTACCTAAACAATCTCAGATACTTTGATTATTGTAGTCATGTCATCTACATCTACCAACAAAACTTCCCTGTAAGTAGGTCAATAGATATCCAACGCTTTATTTAAAAGAAATTATATTATATCCGACTCAACCAACACTCTAGTTTGTAGTCATGCAAGCCATGGTTCATATGTATATATTATATTGCCTGTTTGAAATAGTATAGTGTTAGCTTCGATACATAGAACTTGTAAGCATTATTAAAACTGTAGACGTGAGAGTAGATGTTAGCTAGATATGTAGTACTGAAGAGCTTGCCATGCATTCTACCCGTTACAATTGTTGTGCAGTAAAAATTGAGTGAGGTCGTGTGGCGTAGCGGCAGAGTGCTCGACTCAGAACCAAGAGGTCCCAGGTTCGAGTCCTGACATGCCACTGATCTTGTGTCCTTGGGAAAGACACTTTACACGACTTTCTTCACTTCGCTCAGGTGAAAATGAGTATCGTTCCGTATTTTCCCTCTATCTGCGTTGGTGACGGCATGATATAACTTGAGTGTGCAGTCACCATGTCTAGTCATGAAATGTTGGAATAGAAAAACATGACTTGACTAACCTGTTGTAGGTACTGTGGTGAGCGAAGATGTTCCACTTCACCCCCTCAGCCAACTCCATGACGTCACTGGACTTGATGACGCTCCTGCAGCCGACCCAGGGCGACTCGGGCATGCGCGGTAGGCCGACTACAAGGTCATGGTCATAGGCGTACCGGAGGAAGATGTTCTGTACGGTGGAGGAGCCGCTTCTGTGGACCTTGATGAAGGCGACGTTGTGGTGAGGCCTGCAACGATCTCGGTCTATTTCGGGGCTAAAGAGGGAGACACAGAAATATTATCGTTACTTGCAAAATCATGAGAGAGGAATAAAGAGAAAGTCTCGACCTTCCAGACTGATTTGACGCCAAAGCAACGCGTTGAAGTGTTCATAATGAAAAAATTAAGAGAAGAACGCAAGGTTATTATGTTGACCTGCAAAATCATGCCCGAAGGCTATTCGCATGCACAGTGTCATAGAAAGCTAAGTAAAGCAATAGAGAACATACGACTACTGTCTGAGTAGCTTATATATCATTTATACGGTGGGGCTTGTAGTGATTTCGGTTTATTTCGAGGCTAAAGAAAGGGACAGAGGATTGTTATCTTTACTTGCAAAATCTTACCCGAAGGCTAATCGCATGCACAGTGTCAAAGAAAGCAAAGTAAAGCAATAGAGAACATACTACTACTGTCTGATCAACTTGTATACTACGACTACGTTTGCTATAATGAGCTTTGATTTCTTCTTTGCAGACAGTGGATAATGATTATCAGTACTGCTGCGTTTACTGTCTACGAATTAGCATTGCACAATTACAGAGGGCTAACCACGGAGCAGAAGAAGTGAATAAACAAATCAAAACAAACGATACTTACGCTGTAGTCGGGTGTACTGTCGTGTACGCCATGGTACTGTTGTCGTCCTTGTCGTCTGGTGTGTCGTCTACCGGCATTTCAAACGGAGGGATGATCTCGTAGTCCCTTTCACGGTTCCTGTGGTGTTTGTGTGACCTTATGACAGACTCGTCTAACTTACCACCGCCATGATGGCGGCCTTGTGGCCCCTTCTCCACCGGCCGGTTGAACGTCGTGTAGGTGAAAATGGCGACGGCGACTAGGAGAATGATCCCGAGCATCCGCTTGGGACTCTTCATGATACTGTCTCTGGTGTAGCCTCTCATGGGTTCTCCGCTCTAGAAGACTTTTGTCTTCTCTCTCTCTCATTCCTACGTGACGTATCGGTATTAAAAGTGTGTCCCCTGAGGATAAAGTTGGGGAACAGGTTTTTTGGTAGCCTCGTGAACAGACCGTCGTGGGCCCCCGATATCTACGGCACTAAGAATGTTGTTGCCCTCCCACTCGACGTACGTTAGGGGTTTCACAAGACAATTATGAACTTAGATAAAACTTCTATATTGAAACATACCTGTTCTTACCTTTTTGCCATTACTAAGAAACGAGAAGAAACCGAATTTACTTATTGTAGGTACTGAACGATGTATATATGTAACGTTATCTGTATACCATTCTTCTGTTGTGACCTGTACTTAACCCAGTGGGTATGTGTGTCCAATAAAGGTCTTCATTCATTCATAATCAGAAAATTCAACAGAAAAGATCGACTCCCGGTGTAAAGGCACTGTACTGTGCGAACAAATCGTGGGCGGAAAACTCTCAAAGCCAGCCTGTAGAGAATAGTCCCCAGGCTAGTTTTTGGGGGGTTGAAAGGCTTGCGAACTATTACGTCACAAATGCCTTATTGGCGGAGTAATTATCTCCCGATTTCACAGCTGACAACGTCATGCGTCAGAGTGGAAAGGTCAATGTACCCACCCATAGAACCGGGTCTGTCGGACATGTTTTGATGATAGAAAATCTTTTCGAGCTTAAGGTAACCGTAGGTAAATGCCACCTAGCGTCACAAAACAGTGTTGCAATGTTGTAAGTAGCGTCTTCACACTTGGTTTACTTACATGTAGCATGTTTCTAGTATTCTTTAATAACAAAAAAAACAACTTTTATCGTCTATAACAGCCGATCGCACTGTTTTTTTTAGTTCCTGAAGTTGACGCAGGCATACACACTATAAACTTACATCAAAAACATATACTTTTTTGTTTGTTTCTTATTATATAAGCTTATGAGTTCTTCGCTTAACAGGAGTGAAACAGTTCAAATATTTTGAGTCTGTGTTATTCACGATTCTAAACCATGAAAGCGCCAAAGAAGCTCGCCGTCTCGTCCAGGCTGACCAGGTGTAAGTTAGAACACGCCACCCAGATCCTGTCTCCTCTCTGGAGGCGGAACACCCCTCCCTGGTACGACGTGTGCAGCCCGAACTCCGCTTTCCTCGACCAACAGCTGCTCCTAACACTCTTCAGTATCTCCTGTGGTTCAGGGTAGGACGTCTGCTTCAACACGAAGTGGATCATCTGGTAGGGTGTGTCTTTTCTCCCAGTGGTCTTGTCCAACAGGAAGCGGTAATAGACGACTTGTGAGTAGACATAGTAGAACCCGTCTTGTGGAATGATCAGGTCCCCGTTGTTGTACATCATACCATTCGCCAGTGTGGCCAGGCCTTGCCGGGTCTCCCAGTCAGTAAACTTGGTGATGCCTGTTCCATCCGCTGTACATTGGGGAGAATAGTCGTTAGTAGATATATGTTTCATTACGTATTCTGCGTTTTAAATCAAATATCCAACATCTTGAATGCAAAGTATGACTAGTAACAATGATATGTATCTATCAACCCATCTATCCATCCATCTTTCTAATATACATTTATCTATTTATTTACCAATTCATCTACTAGTATCTAATTGTATATATACGTATATGTAAATATGTTTATCTATAGTAACCATTTGTAAAACGCTCACCATATATACTATATAGAGATCCGTATTGGCCACATTTGTTTTCGGCGTCTTCATCTACTTTCAAAGGCCCCTCTTTCATCCCATCATCCGTTTTACACCACGCACAAAATTGGAAACAAATCCTGATCATTATTCAGTCGTTATTATCACTCACCTCTTGTGTACCTCAGCGTTGTACTCCCAGTGAGATGTGCCAAGGGCTTGAATATGACGCCAGCCTCTGCACTAGACTGAAACAGGGAAGTGTTTCTTGCAAAGTAGAACGGATCTACAAAAACAGAAAAGTCATATGCACCAATTTTACATTTTGTATCAACGAAAAGAATATATAACGACAATTCAGGGATACATTACGTTTTTAGATGTACGCAACGGTGGCTAAATATATTATATCTTAAGGCGATATTCCAGGGGGTATTAAAAAGCTTCAGAAGTCGTATCATTGTTAGCTATTTGATGTTACAGTTAGATTGCAATACGAAGGTAAACATATAATGAAGTTAAACATTACCTTTGCTGCTTATCGCAGTTTGTTCCGATTCCTCTTTTCCCAGTTTGTCAAGCTGTCTGAAGATTAACTAAAGGTGAAGAAAGTATTAGGTAAAACATGTCGTTCATATTGTACCCATTATACTGATTCTCGTTATAAGCTTAACGACCCCTCAAATAGTACAGCCTTCTCAAAATTTAAACCACAATGTCTTTATCAAGATTTTTAATGATTAACCTACGAGGCCAACTAGTTATTATGGTTTGCAGATGGCTTTATTGGCACAGTTCTCCTACAACGTTTAACAGCTCTAGAACATTGAAAACATGAGAGTTGGTTTATTGTTGATAAACAGATTTTTGTTCCTCTTCTGCTTTCTATAGATGGAATCATCCGATAAATGCACTAAATTCACTTCGTTCCTTTTTGTCGATAGGACGTCTGATCAAGAGAATACCACATCTAAATTTCATCTCCATTGTTTATGGTCTTTTGTTTTACTAAGTAAATTGTAGAGTGCAATGCCTTTCAGTTAGACTAGATACTAGTGCATTTTGAAGGCCATACCTACTCTTAGGTTGCCAATATCTCGTTTTTAGAAATTACGATTAAATACAATAAAAAGATGCATGTCTAAAACAAAAGACGCAATAGATGCTTTCCATATGGTGAGCTATATTACACGCTTCTAACGTCCTTACGGTCCTACCTACACACACAAACCCTTTACCTTCTCCACAGTTGATCTGTCCACATCCACAGTTTCACCAATTCCGGCATCTTCGTACAAACCTCGCAGTTCATCTATTTGCAGCCGCAGATTCTCTGTCATCCAGAAAACGTCGGAGACCATCAGTATGGAAGAGACGGCTAATGTTACTAACAAAGGCAGAGGATTGGTGAAAGGGCCTCTTTTCATCTCTTCTGTAAAAATCTTGCCCTTATCAAGAACATAACAGTGTTGTTCCTTGTAGAGCATCATCTTTGCTTCTGTTTGACGTATTTTCCTCCACAAATTAAGCTTTAAAAAGGATGAGGTAATATGAGGTAATGTTTTGCTACCCACGCTATAACGGTCTTATGTTGACTCAAAGCAAACGACCTTGTACAAAGTTGAAAGTGACGTCATGAGCAAATATGGCCTGATATGGTGCCCATGTGGTGCGACAGAGTAATATAGACTTGAACGTGGGGTTGAAATCGCTGGGAAACGCTGCCTTTGAAAGCTAGGAGGAATTTTCAGACTTATTCAAGGTACGTTGTTCTGCATTACACATCGTACGTATCATAACGGAATAATGCATGTACTTGTCGTTTGAAGGCTTGGCGAGGTAACATGGCGTTGCTATAAGTTCAAAGTCTGCCTTAAAATGGCCTACCTTATGCTTAGGTCACATTTGAAACGGCGCCCGTTCGGCATGTCCTCGGTGTAGACGCCGGCCGGCGTCATGACGCCGAGCGTGCGCCGTACTGTCAGGGTCACAATTAAATGTTACTTTACGGCTCCCTGTCGGGGCCTGCTTGTGCTCCGCCCGGCGGCTCTCATTAATATTCATAAACTTTTGCGGCCGGTTTCTGTCAGGGACCCGTCCGGTGCCCGGTCAGTCGCCCGTCTTGACCCGTGCGGCGTGTGGTAGGGTGCCGACCGGCTCTTACAGTTCGGCCGGGCAGCTGTCAGGTCCCTGGCGGGTTCCTGGCGGGATCCCGACGGGCTCCTCTCGTGTTTTTGAGCAGGTACATATATAAGCGCTGCACTGCCTGCTACCGTTCACTTCAAGTAAAGAGTACACGTCAAGTAAAGAGTAGACTGAAGTTGGCGATGCAGCGTTCAGTGCAACCTGCAAACAACTTACAAGCCCGTCTGAGATTGAGATTGGTCTTCTGGCATTGGTAGCTGAAGAAGAGAGGCAGGCAGAACTGGTGCGTCGCAAAAGTAACCGAGGGCCTACTTTCGAAAGTACTTCAACAGTGACGCAGGAAGTACTTCAGCAGTGACGCAGGAAGTGTGCCGTGGCAGCTCCTTGCTATTGAGCAATAAAACCAATGAATATCGTTACTTCTGTTGAAATTTGGAGTGAAAATAAATGCCAATAACTTCTGATTCCATTTTATTACGAAGGCATATGATGTAACAAGAGATAATGTCAGACACATTCTATTCCTGTTATGATCTGTTGTATGAAGTTGGCAAGAGAGCCGTGCCGGCTGTTTTCCCTTGCCCTTCGACATTCTGACACACAAATACAAGGTGTAACACACACAAGTACACGATGTAACACACACGTGGTGAACTGTGCGACGTAGTCTGAGGCAGGAGTTTATATATGCTCCCTATAACCCCCTTTTCCTGACCATCTGATGCACTGATCAGCACATGTGACGTCATAATCTTAGGCAGGTGCCTGTTCGGCCGCCCGACGGGTCCCGGGCAGTGAGGTTACGGCGTCGCTTCGGCGTACTTCGCCGAACGGGGCCCGAAGTGTTTTTAACTCTGAGTTAAAATCGATTCGGCGACCGCGCGGGGCCAAAAATAGGCCGGCAGCCGTCGGGAAGCCCGCCGGTCTCCGTCCAGGTCGGGTATGAGGTCGGTTGCCGTGTTCGCTGCTGCAGTGCTGTTCCTGGCCTACTACTGTAATGAGCCTGTTCCAGACGGTGTCACCGACGCTGGGGCGTACCGTGCCATGGGGATATTCTTCAGGACACTGGGGCATGTGGTGAGAACTTATTTATATAGGGCCTGTTGTATTCAGGACCATGCTTTATATCCAGAACCATGCTTTATACAGAACTGTGCTTTATCCAGAACCGTGCTTTATCCCAAACCGTGCTTTATCCTCAACCGTGCTATACCCAGAACTATGCTCAGACACGGTTCTGGATGGTCCACACGTATCCAGAACCGTGCCTGGGGCAAATCTACGGAGACTACTTACAACCGTGCTCTCTTTGTCTGTCTTTCGGTCTCTCTCTGTCTCTCTTTCTGTGCCTGTGCCTTTCTCTCTCTCTCTCTCTCTCTCTCTCTCTCCCACTCTCTCTCCCTATCTCTCACTCTCTCGGTGTTTCAGGAATTCGCCGAAAGGTACGATTTCTGTTTCTTGTTGTTTGATTGTCTCCAGGCGAGACTCGGCGAAAAGCTGGGGATTGCCAGAGAGCCGCACATCAGACGTGACGCCATATCCTTACTGACAAACGTCGCCAGGAGGTTCAAGTCCGACCACAGAACCGGTCTGAAGGTCACGGACACGACATTCGACGGGGTCAAAGTTCGGATCTACGAGCCTGCTGCAGTTCAGGCGACCGACGCTAGGAGGACAGGCCTGGTGTTCTATCACGGGGGAGGATGGGCGGCACTGGCGATGGGTGAGGTCCAAGTACTGACATAGTTTCATTCGCTGAACACAGTCTGCGGGCGATACCGATTTTCTGCAGCATTGATAATTCTAAACGACTAGCTCAGACGTCGAAAATTTTGCTCTGTCAGAAATGCCTCTTGATGTCTCTTGACTATACACTTAGTTATATAGACTTACTACTATTTAGACTTAGTTCCTCACGTGCGAAGCACCTTGGGCAGCAAGTTTCCTTTACTCTGTTCGATCTTTGCCTAGAGTCTCAGCATCCGCAAGGAGCACCCCTCTATTTTCCATGTCTTTTTGAAAAGTGCGTCGCCATGTCAGCTTTATACTGTGATAAAAATTTGATTATTTGTTGTCCGAACATGTTGTGTTCAGATGACGTCGATGAGATGATGGCCCACATCGCAAAGCAGCTGGGCAACGTGCTTGTCGGAGTAGAGTGAGTATGACTTGCAAAAGATGTTATATGTATGATCTTTAGTAGAAGTAGTTAGAGACGTCCATTTTTAATTCTGAGAATTGTGCTGGTACAGGTAGATACAGGAACAGCGAATCAATGCAAAATTGAAGACGAACATGATAGATCTAACGTTAGAAATGTGCAAAATATTCTTTTGAAAATGATTCTATTGGAAGGGTGGTTAGAGACTCCCCTTATTAATGTAATAATCAAAAGCCTAAAGACGTCGGTGAAGGTTAGATATCTTGGTAATAACTAAGATACGCAAAAAAAAAACAGTTACTCAAGCAACTGGATATGATTTTGGAAACGGTCAGACAGAATTCTCCTGCAGTATCTTAGAATCACTGACGAAAGCTAATGGATGCTACCGGAAACGTCTGACCGTTTCCAAAATCATATCCAGTCGCTTGAGAACTGTTTTTTGGCGTAAAAGCCGAAACAGTTTATATTTTGTAGTTACCGATTGGCTCCCGAGTACCAGTTCCCCGCCAGTTTCGACGACTGCCTGGTCGCCACGAAGTTCTTCCTACGTCACACGGAGGACTACAACGTCGATCCAAAGCGCGTCGGCGTGGGCGGGGACAGCGCTGGCGGTAATCTGGCCGCTGCCGTCGCGATCGCCATGACGAAAGAAAAAGAGTTCCCAAAGTTGAAGGTCCAGACGTTGTTATACCCAGCTCTGCAGGCGTTTGACTTCAACACGGACTCTTACAAGGACAGCGGACACCTAAACACTCTACCTACTGATCTCATGATCTCCTTCTGGCTGTGGTATCTGAACGACGATCTGTCGTCTTTCCACACCTTAAAGGCCAACAACCACACCACAGAAGCACTGAAGAGGTCTGTATCTGTATAGCCGGTATAACCGCTCTTCGGCGTAACACACCAGCTTCTGTATCTGTATAGCCGGTATAACCGCCCTTCGGTGTAACACACCAGCTTCTGTATCTGTATAGCCGGTATAACCGCCCTTCGGCGTAACACACCAGCTTCGCAGGCACGCGGCGCGGAGGCATCTGGCTACATTACATCAAAAGACTTGTTACACCTAACCCTTGAACTTACTATCTTACTCTAAACATTGTTTAACTTACTATCTTACTCTAAACATTGTTTAAAGCTATCTAATGATAATGGCCCTACTGTACTTTACTGTACTGTATTGTACTTAGTGACAGCGAGTTCCAATCTGCGATAGTTCCAGGGAAAAATGAGTTAGTGAACACCTCAGTCCTTGGTTGACAACTCTGGTACTTGAAGGCATGGCTATTTCTTGTTCTTTTCTGAGCTAGTATTATGTACTTAGTAGAAAGTAAGTCCACCAGTTCATTATTAATTGTGTACATCATACATAGTCTTGACATTTTTCTTCTGTCTTCCAGTGAGACCCACTGTAGGTTTCTTTTCAATTCCGTTGGTACGTTCACCAGTTTATTAGTCAATTTGTACATCATGGACATTTTTCATCTGTATTCCAGGTCACAGTATGCCGGGTACGTGAACACCAACCTTAAGACCACCACCCCTGTGAGTAAGAACAACATCAAGTTTCCCGCCATAGACAGGATTGAGACGATTTTAGACCCTCGCTTTGCGCCACTGATGGCTGATGACGTAGATCTAAAGAAGATGCCGCCTACCTACGTCATGACGGTTGAGCATGACGTACTGAGGGATGACGGCGTCATGTACGCACGTCGGCTGGAGAAGCTTGGAGTGCCCGTCCGACATGACCACTACAAACACGGCTTCCATTGCTGCCTGCTCGATGTGAACGCGATAGACGTAGGAAGGGAGGCCATGGAAAACTACGTGTCGTATCTCAAGAAAAATCTTTGAGTTCTTGTACAGTTTGTCCGTCAATAAAGTTTTTCCTTGAAGGACATTGATCTCTGTTATTACTAGTATTCTATTAGTAATAATTCATAGGTGCATGTTTGTCTTGCAAGGATCAAAGATCCCGCTAGAGGGCGCCATGGCTTTGTTTGAAGGTTTGACATGTTTGTAGCTTTGATCAATGTCTGGGTAATGCATGAAGTAAACCCACGCGGTAAACGGTCTTGTATGTTGACTCAGAGCAAAATATCAAACGATCAGTCACAAAGTTGAAAGTGAAGTAACATGGTACGGCAGCGTCCATATAGAGTCAACATGAGATGAAAAATGATTAATTTAAAAACGTTGCCATTTTCAAGGCAGCAGAAGCTATTATTATGTCAAGTTTGCCCCCTATTACCTGCATGTCTGTGTATGTGAAGGGGGGTATTATTACTATTATTACTATGTATATGTCACCGCGGTTTACTAAAATGACTTCCCTTGATGCCATTAGACAAATAAGGTCAGATAAAGGTGTTCAGTTGATGCATATTCACTGGTTTATTTCATACAGTTGAGGTGACTCACACTACAAAATGTACAAAAATGAAAAATTCAAAATATACATGTATATATGGAAATAAAGTCTCATTCATTCATTCATTCATTCATTCATTCATTCATTCATTCATTCATTCATTCATTCATTCATTCATTCATTCATTCATTCATTCATTCATTCATTCATTCATTCATTCATTCATTCATTCATTCATTCATTCATTCATTCATTCATTGTATATACATAAATATCTGCATTGAAAGACATCGTAAACTAGCTGCCCGGATGTCGTGGTCAATATTGTTTTCAAACAGATGAGTTCATGCCACCCCTGTTTGTTTGCTTGTTTGTCTTCTTTGGTTAAGCAACAGATATTGCATTGATAACAGCCAAGTGTATATACGTTTTTGCACCTTATCGGTTTTCAAGGCTGTACAAGAAGCAATGCTCAAAGCACAAAATTGTGCCATCTTGAGTAGCAGTACTGACTACTTCAGTTGTTGGTATGAACCGTGTGGGTTGTCGGCATTTAGTCAAAGTCTGTGTTGGATGGGTAAATACAAATTGTTTTGAGTCAGTCGGCATCAAAATGTACAGTGTCATTTTAAAACCACCAGCGGTAGTGACATTCACAATACGAATATCTCGAACTTGTCATATTGGTAGGTTTTGCTACTGCAATCTTTTAGTCTCAAATTCAACACTTTCAACGCCTCAAATTTACTTGGATTTTGGTCTGTGCCTTTCTATATCATGAACGCGCCAAAGTAACTCGAAGTTTCCTCCAAACACACCATGGACATGTTTGAAACCGCCACCCAAATCCTGTCCCCCTTTTGGAGCCTGAACACCCCTCCCTGATAGGACGTATACAACCCAAATTCTACATTCTTAGACCAACATGTGTTTCTCGCGCTTTTCATAATCTGAAGCGGTTTGGGGTAGGAGTTTTGTTTGTAAGTGTAGTGAATGAGTTGGTAGGTTTTGCTCTCTGTTTTTGGCGGATTTAAGAAGCGGTAGTAGAGTTGTGAGTAGATGAAGTAGAGACCGTCAGTAGGGATGATGAGGTGTCCTCTCTTGTGTCTCATCCCGTTAGCGAGCGTCGCCAGCCCCTGTCTCGTCTCCCAGGACCTGATCTTGCTGAGGCCGCCTTTTCTGTCGTCTGTGGGTACACAAAACAGTTTTGAATGTGCCATAGTATCATGTAGAATGTATCATATACATACTGAGAGAGAGAGAGAGAGAGAGAAAGAGAGAAAGATAAGAATAAAACGAACACACACACACACGAGAGAGAGAGAGAGGCACGCACACAGGCACACAAACACGCACTCACACACACACACACACACACACACACACACACACACACACACACACACACACACACACACACACACACACACACACACACACACACACACACACACACACACACACACACACACACACACACACACACACACACACACACACACACACACACACACACATACACAGAGAGAGACAGAGACAGACAGACAGACGGAGGAACAGATAGACAGCGAGAGGGGGCAGACACAGGGTTAAGAGACTTCCTTACCCGCTAGAGAGTTATCCTGGAGACTGCCCGTGAGATGTGCTGTTGGTTTGTGGGTTCTCCGGCTCACGTTTCGGAACGGAGTATCTCTGTCTGTTGGAAGCCATATGGTCCCTGAAAGAATGAGCACACTCAGTTACTCTTGCAATATTCAACTGCATGTTATCATGATCTGTTATATTGCTTCTTTTACAGTTGACGCTAGCAGGGCTAGCAAGTCTTTCACAAAGATTTGAGTTATTTTTTTTAAACTAGAAGCTGTAAGACGCGTCACGCACTGACGCAAGTACAGTCTTCCGGTTACTTCAAGACTTTGCAAGAAAGTTGTGTATGCAAGATTATTAAGAAAACCAATCCTTGTTCGTGAGCTTTACTACTTTCCTATGTTAGATATTGTGTTCTACGCTAAGGATTAGAAAGAAAAGGCTGTGGATGGGATAATTGATGTTGCTACATAAAGTGATGTTACGGCATTGAATTGGTCGAAGAAGAACTTTAAAAATCACTAAGGACAGGGGCAAGGTTTTCGAAAAGTTAGAACTCAAGAGCCTTATTGTTACAGGTGCTCTACGCAAGTCCAATCAACGTAGCTGCAATAAAAGACAGTTTAGAAACAGCACTTTGAAGATGTGTTCAGAGACATCGATGGAGAACATGATCTTTGAAGAAGAGGAAGTTATATTAGGTTTAACTAATTGATGTTTACAGACAGAAGAGCATAGTATGCGTTTTTCACACCTACTGACCTTCCTCCTGCTCACGGAGAGCAGTCAGGCGTCTTTCCACTGCCTACAGGTGAGAGGAACGTGTTGTGTAGTAATTGTTTAGATACGATATAACTTATCGCAGCACGAATTGGATTTCAGGGGATTTTGAAGGGCGTTCAGTGTAGAAACAGTCTTAATCTTCGCTACGTTGTCAACAAGTGCACGGGTATTTTGGCCACTTTCCAAAGTCAATATTTCCGAATGTCCCTACTACCCCCAAGCCTACGTGCCGAGGAATGGATTTAAACAATCAGTCAGACCAAATATTTAACTAACTCTGATTTGTTTTCATTGGAGAGTTTGCCCTTGTCAACCCCCTAGCCTAGGTAAAGAGGCATGTAGGTACACAATAGCTCGACCACAATATTTGCTCAGACTTGTTTTCGTCGAGAAAGTTGGAAAGCACCAGCAGCGAAGTAACTTTATTCAACTACGTCGGCGGTAGTTACTGTGTTTTCTGTCTAATTCGAACCGTTCAAACTACATTAGGCTTTAAAATTATTTCAAATTAAAGAAGGCGTGTGTTATGTTAGAGATTTCCTTCCATTGGCAGAAACGTATGCGTTAGACTTCACCCCTTTATTTTTCCCTTGTTGCTTACCTCGGAAAACCGCCTTACATTTATGATTCTACTATTGACTTGAATATACGTCTGAACTTTGTGAGCGTTCCTTACTACGATACATCCCAAGCAGATGAACGTAAAACGAGCAATGCTTATACGATATTTCACGCTATAATGATATTTCAAGATAGTTACCAGTTGCAGTGCCGTCTCGTTCAAGCCTTCATGCTGGTACTGTCGCTCCTGTAGCTTCGTGTACGACTGTTGAAGACTGTCGACTTCCCGCTGAAACTCCACCCACAGACAGACCCCAGCCGACAGCACAGCGGCGTTAACCACGGAACAGAGAGAAACTGCGATGATGACCGGGCATTTGGAGCTTTTCAGACCTATTTGGGCCTTTTTCTCCGCGGTCTGGGGTGAAAGATCTGGAGGGTCCCACCCAATGTTACTGTAGGACGGTTGGCGGTTGGATAACATGGTACGCTGATGTTAAGTGGTACAAAGAAAGAACGGTAAAGAGGGAGCTCTTCTACCCTTACACCCATTAGACTAAGCCTTCTAGGAAGGGGGCCCGTTTAACGGTACATTCCGCTTTTATAGGTGACATGTTTACCACATTCCGACACGATTTACCAACTGGGGCTATCGGCGTGTGTAATTGCGCATGAGCTGAGCGATCTCTTCAGCATTGTTTATGGCGTTGTGATGACAAATTGTAAATAGTTGTCAAGGGTCGGTTGGATCATGCTCAGAAATTGCAGCTGAGTCAGCGGGAGTTTTAAGGACTTTGTTAAGTTGGCGTGTGATAAATTTTGGGCAACAGAAAACAGGTGACCACCAAAGATACATGACATTACGTATGGGCAACTTAGATGGTTCAGTCTATCCTCACAATGATAGTACCTAATCCCTTGTCACTTAGCATTCACATTGCATTGGAGTTAATGTATTTATCTTTTTTTAAATATTCATCCCTTTCATCCTCTGGTGGATGTCAGCTGGACAATGCACATCTCTCTCTGCGTCAGATCTAGTCTCTCACCCCTTACGCAAAGCAACTTGAGTTAGCCCTTTGGGGCCAAAAAGTTGCCCCTCACATTCACACAAAGCCTGTTTACCACTTCATTTTGCAGTACGCCAATGGTGCCTTTGCCTCCCGGACTGCGGTAAAGTTCCCGAAGGTACAGACTTGGTGAAGTGTTTGTCCGGCTCTCAGCGTTGATGAAGGCAGACTCGTAAACACTAGTGAAGTCATGGGGGATTTTACGGGCCATAAAAGGCGTAGGCGTTAGGCAAAGGATCACCTCTTTTATTCGACCGATGACAACATGATAAAAACATGAGGTGTAACGGTTCCTCTTTCTCTTTCGCAACTCATGAAAAGTTTGTCAGAGATCTCAGATATGTCAAAAATATGTATCTTTAGGATATCGCTGTAAACCACATTGTTATCTAACTGGGTTGGACAGTAAATTTCTAAAAAACGGAAAGCTGAATGAATTTTAGGGGACGACCAGGCAAGGTGATGAAGGGAAGAAGAATTGTACCGTGGGGGTAACTTGCGTGGGGGTAACTTAGATGGTGTAGTCTATTCTCACAATGACAGTACCTAACCCGTTATATGTTGGTGTTACGATATTTATCTTTGCTGAATGCAGATTTCTCTCATCCTCGTGTTATTTAGACAATGCAATGGCCCTCGTCTCTGCCATAGATCCTGTGTCTTGCCTCTCTTCTCACTTATGGCAACTCGGGAAGGAAATGGACTTTACTGCTGTTTTTTTCTAACGGAGTGGTTCAATGCAAGGCCTATACGACCACTTCTCGGCATTGAACTAGAAGTTTGAGAGAAACATGGCTATGTCAAGAGATGGCGGTGAACGTTAGATTTGAAAGCCTGTAGATTGTAGGTTGGTGGGAAACACTTGTCAGGGAGGGAATTCCAAAGCTTGCCTCCACAGTAAAACAAAGCCTGTTTACCATTCTTTGCTATACGCCAATCGTGTGCCTGCATGTCCCCTGGACTTCGCCCGGTAAGCCCTGACGTTACATAGATAGTGAAAGTACATGCCTAGCGTGTAAACAGCTGTGGAATTGTATCTGTCACCGTCAGCGTTTTTGCTTTGGCCTTTGTCCGCTGTTTGGACTAAACCTCCATGATCTGTCTAAGCTTTAAACTGTTGCGCAACTCACATTGCACTGAGCTAACAATAGATATTGAGAAAATAAACATACGTGACATTGCATATGGGTTACTTAGAAGGCCTAGTCGACTCATAATGATAGTACCTAGTACATGTAATCCATTTTCACTTCGCACTTTGGGGTTAAGATATTTAATATCTTTCTTGAATACAAATCTTTCTCATTTTCATGTTATTTGGACAATGCCTCTACTCTAATCCAGTCTCACCCCACATGCAAAGTAACTTTGGTTAGCCTTTTGTGGGAAAGAAATTATCTTTCACATTTAATCAATTTCTGTTTATCACTCATTTTTGCTGTTAAGCAATAATAACGTGCTTTATTTATTTAATAAAATATTTAGTGCTTGGACTTCGGATGGTGACCGTGCCAGAAGGTAAACAAGTTGCCTATAAATGCGGAGTGTACCGTTAATCGGGTCCCCTTTCCCGAAGCCGAATGCTATGGGCGTACATGTAGAAGAGCCCCTTTTTTGCCGTCCTTTCTCTGTACCGCTTAACACACGACCAGGATAAAGAAAAAGATGCATGCGCATGCTTTATAATTGGGCATTGGTTTTTAATGTTAATGCGTGTTCACCTGATACTTACACTGTTTTGCGGACGCCAGGCAATTTTTCTTTTAGAATTGTTTAGAGATATACAAAGTTGAAGATGAGATCACGCATTCAGTATCATGTAAAACGGTATTCTCTACTGGTCCTCGTGTCCGTGGGTTTACTCTTCTATCGTCATGTGGAGTTAACCAATTACGCAATAGCGAGCCGTACTTCAACCGCCCGAAGGAACGACGAACAGGATCAACTCAAGGGCACCTCATGTGAAGCCCTTTGCAAGGTAAGACTTTAAAGAGAGTAGAAAACACGTGTTGCGAGAAACTTCAGTTTGCAGCAAAAGAATTAATAGATTGCCGAGTATTGTCGTCGACAATCATTAACTCATATGCATGCATGTTCCGATCAAGGTTCTGACGAATTCGAAGCGGGCACCTTCATACTATTATTCATTTCGTGCTAGTAGACCCTAGTAGACAAGTAGAGAAAAGGCAACACCAGTTGACAGCATCGGAGACTGACAAGACTATGAAGTTGTCCCACAACCTCGGTAAGTCTTTTTGAATACTGAAAATTGGCCGAACTCAATGCCAGTACCGCGTCAGCGTTACAGCATTACTTAATTACTTGACAAAATCGTGTAAATGTGTTCAGTAACAAGGCATGTAACGAGTGTCAAAGCCTTTCTCATCAGACCACAAATATTCTTTTCATAAAGAAATAAATAAGAAACGAAAAGGAATAATTGTTATTGACGTTGATGGGCAGTGGAGGGATCTTGCAGTCGCCTGCACGGCAGCCGACCGATGATGATGATGATGAGGTTCTCATGTTTACTTTGAAAGGTTCACGCGCGTGGAACAAAGATCAAAGTTCCCATATGAGAGTTGTTTCGCCGTACTTTGACCAGCCTGCCAGCTACTGTTCAAATACGGGCTCCCCCTCCCTTACGGTCAACCCCAAAACAGACCAAAAAGGAAGGGCGGATACCATACTTACAAGCACAGACATCCCTCAAACTACCAACTGTTGTTGTGATGATTTGTTGAAGAACAGTGTATCATACTGGTAGACAATGCATTGGAGATCTGCTTAGACGCATTTTCAGGGTGGCGAATATATGTGACTAGGTGGAATTTTGTTAGTAGACGTTAAATTCAAAATTATATGGTCACTGGTGTCATTGTTTTCCAACTTGTTTATATAGAAAACGGGCTACCGAGGGAAACATTCCAGAGGGGGCTTGCAGTTATGCTTGTTGTGGGAAGCATCCTGGCGGTCGGGTTCTTTTTGACAGCCGCTCACAGAGGTGAAACGCTTGGACATTTTTGTTACAATATACCATGAGAAACTCGTGACTCATCATTTGTATATAGTTGTATCATGACTATTTATATAGTTATTCAGGTCTATGCGTTTTTTTAACTTATGTAGGAAACATTCAGCCAGTGATAGGTTGAAGCCATGACATACTGCATGCACGTTCTCCTTACCATTTGCTAGCATATACTCGTATTTATACTTTCCAATTTTTATTTCAGATGAAAGAACGACCCACCCGGTACAACCCGTTGACAACGACGGGCCCCATCACGGAGCGCCCCCTGTCTCCATGGCTTAGTATTGCATGATTTATATTGAACAATAAATGCCAGCAGATGCAAGTTTGGAAAAAAAATGCGCTTTAACCGTTTTAACAGTATATGATTCTCTACCAGATCTACATCACTTTTCGCTGCTTTTGTCTAGAATTTGGATGATCCATACCTATTCTGTGCAAACACATTTAACCATGTAAATGGAAGGCAGAAACTTATGCACGACTCGCTAAAATATCTATACCAGTTTCCGTTGCCTTAAGCTTTGTCTACGTTTTGAATGATCCTCTCCTCGCAGTCCTCCGGCTGAGGCAGGTTCTGAGACCTTCTCGGGTTCATCAGGTTCACAAACTCCTCATACTGCAGAACTCCGTCACGGTTTGAGTCAAATAACTATAGGAAAAATATAGTAATATTTTCAATTTGGCATTCAATCCGTTTGGGGCGAAATAAATGACCATTTGTCATTCATTTCGTCTTCTCGTAAACATTGGAATTACAAAAAGTTATCAATATTTTGCAGACTCACACTAGCATCAATATCAATGTCAAATATGTATAAAAAGTTATGTGATTTTGTTTAAAAAATACTGTGCGAGTTTATACAGATAGAGTAGCTTCAGGTATGTATTGTCTAAAGATTCGGTCCTACAACCAACTTAAGGTCACTAAGGCGTATTTTTGGCGTATGTCCAGAGTTCAGATTCATTCTTCAGCATACTGAAGTAGCCATTTGGCTACCGAACCTCTATTAGTTTACTGTGTAAAGGACAAGTACTAAGTACCTCAAAGAGTTTGTCGATTTGCTCGTCGTTGTAGTTCCTTCCGATTGTCGCCATGGCGCTCTTAACTTCCGCCTTGTTTAAGGTACCGCTGCCGTCCTTTTGAAGGAAAAGCAATATTATTACACTAGGTGAAACTCCAAAGATTATAATGTGTGAATGAAGATCCTTTACCAAAAGAAACATAACTGTATACATTTCTTCCTACTAACAGTCATCACTACTAGGATTGATAGTGATGGTGATGATTTTAATCTTAAAAGTTGTTAGTCCTAGCAAAAACTTGAAAACTATATAAAGTTTACAATAGCTTTACTAGGCTTTGATTTTCAGAGACACATAATATGATATCATCAATATAATGCTGTAACATATCTTTATCATTAATATCGGAAGGTACGTACTATACAGTAGTCATGGACTCTTGGCTATATGAATGGTTCAAATGTATAACAGTTTGCGTTTATTTGGATGGAAAATTTGCATACATGGCTGCCATTCTTTCTGTGGCCCTGTAGAGCACAACAATAGTTGTTGTGCAAATACAGTACCATCTATATAACACCCTGTATAGGTACAATTTGGGGGTATTTCTTGCGCAACGCATCACACCGCAGCGAAACGCAACGAATGCGGAGGTAACTATGCCACTGCAGGGCAAAAAAGTCAGGGGTCTATGATCTAATTAAGACATGAAATTATTAAACAAATATTGTGCCAGGAATGCCGGCAGGACAAGGGTTAAATATATTAGCAGTTGAAATTACCTTATCAAAACTTTTGAAGGCCTCCATGAGGAACCTGGGTTCCGGTGACATCACCTCCTTCATGTGCTGCATGAAGTTGACGAATTCATTAAAATCCAACTTTCCGTTTTCATCCACGTCAAAAGTCTTGATGGTCCCCTGGTAGATAAGTAAAAACAAGGTAAAATGTTGAAATTTTACAACACAACAAGTAAAGGCAATCAAATTTTCATCAGGATAATTAATGACCAATCACTTCCAAACGAAAACTCGAGAGAGTTACGGTTACACGGATATGGGGTCGTGTGGTGTAGCGGTAGCGCCTGCGGCCCGGAGGTCCCGGGTTCGAACCCCAGCTGGTCACCGATCTTGTGCCCTTGGGAAAGGCACTTTACACGGCTTTCCTCACTTCACTCAGGTGAAAATGAGTATGCCATAATGGTCATTATCATGATCGTAGGCATTAAAAAGAAAACCAAAAAGAACCCCAGTATGTGACATCAGCGGTTGATCGGACGTACCAGGGAGTTTATACTGTCCACCGTCTCTATTAAGTGATGGCTGGAGTGCCCTGATATATATGGCCTCCTTTATACATCTTAAAACGTAGTCCTCCTCAGTGACCAAAAGAAACAAAGGTGACTACCTATAAACGCCCCCTTGTGGAGCATTAGTGTACTGCCAGAGCACAGAGCATGTATACCGGATATACACAAATATCGGAGAACGTTATCAAAGCCTATGTTGGCGGAGAGCCAGATCGAAAGCAGTTACTGCAGAACAATCTCACGTATCATGAGCTCCCCCTTGCGCCGTACTACTGTACTGCCAGAGCATACTGTAGTTCTACGCTACAACTACAGATCCTCGGGAACGCTGCACCCATGCTGGCGGAGTGCCAGAACGAGAGCAGGTAAACGTTTGAATGCAGAAACCTAGCAGTTTATCGATCACTGTATGGCTCTGGCTATTGTCAACGAGTTCTGTGAGTTCATTAGTCACGCTGAAGTAGAGTGGTGGATGTCACTCGAAACGTCCGGAATTTTTATTCTCCGAAATTTATCCAGTAGTAGAGTTTGAATTTTCTATCAATAGAGCTCTTATATATAGTTCGAACATTCAATAGACAACTCGGATTAGGCACAGAACAGTCCAGAATAGAGTAAAATAATAAGGATAGAATGGAACAGAATAAACTGCACCTGATAGAATCGAACACAATTTAGAACATAATAGAACAGAACAGAATAGAATAGATTAGATTAGATTAGAACAAAAGATTCAAACACAATATAGAGCAGAACAGAACAGAATAGATTAGAATAGAACAGAACAAACGATTCGAACACAATTTAGACTGGAACAGGACACAATAGAACAGAACAGCGTCGAATGGAACAGACGAGAATAGAATGGTTCGAATAGAAAAGAAAAGAATAGAATGAAGAACATATACTTTTTTAAGTCATAACATCTGCACACCTTGATGAGAGACGGACTGGGGTCGATACTGAGAGCTGCCAGTGCGGGGCCCAGTTCGGTTGGTGAGATGAACTCGTCGTTGTTCTTGTCCAGCATGTCGAAACACTTCCTGTACAGACTCAACTGTTTATCGTCGGGTGGGGCCAACGCTGATGCCATCTTCCCTCGAGCTGGAAAGAAAGACATGTTTATTGATGAATGAATGAATGAATTAATTAATTAATTAATGAACTATATTTGTACGTTAATATACTCTTATAAGGTTTAATAGTACAGGTCATTGGGATAAAGTAGAAGTAAGATTATAGTAACTGTTATGTTTGAACTTTAGATCTTGTTTCTTTATCTTTAAAGATAGTACATAGCATAGTAGACAACTTGGTGTGTCCGGAAATGACATGGGTCTTCCCAAAAGTAGCTTTGTATTTTCTTTAACAATAATAAGTAACGGTGACAAAAATTAGGACTTGATAACTACTCGAGGAACTGGCTGTTAAGTAAACTTATATAGTTTTACCGACACCAGAGTAATATATTGCTCATATTACATTGACGTGAAAACTTAAAATAACGTACAATCATTAGGCCACAGCAAGTAATTTTTATGGATGACATCAGCGCGCGCATCAATTTTTTCCTGATTTTGGAAAAAAAGAAGAAATTTTGTTGCCTTCTGAAAGTGGTCACCATGCCGAAAATGGGCAATGATATCTGTTGCCATGCCAGAAGGTGGATGGCAGATAACTATCAGTAGAGGAGACAAAATGATGCCATCCATAAAATTTACTTGCTGTGGCCTTAGCATGAAAACTGAACACCCATTAGTACATTACCTTATGCAACAGGCGTACAGAATGAATTCTAAGGATGAAGTGAAGTGTGATATACCGGTATACTCATCAATTATTCAACACCAATACTCGCGTTTGAAGCTATGGATTCAACAGGTTTTGGGATACGAGTTTATAATAGACTTATTTCTTTTTTATTCCAACATGTAATCACAAGACGTGGTGAGGGCACACTCAAGTTTTTGTTCAACTTAAGTATATTAATACCTCCACCAACGCAGAGGACAATACAATTATACCAATTTCCACCTGAGCCAAGTGAGGAAAGTGCCTTTCCCAAGGACACAAGATCGGGGGTATGTCAGGACTCGAACCCGGGACCTCTTGGTTCCGAGTCGAGCACTCTGCCGCTACGACACAGGACTAAATTGGTAGCCACATACAGCCCTAGCAAAATGCGGCTGGCCCAGGGCTTATAGGCTATAACCGGAGAAGTACAACCACACGGTAACGCTATTGTACTTCGTGTATTTGCAAGTTCTGGAAAAGGCGTGTATTTAAGTACGTGGGAACGTACGTGTTACAGCAAGAATGTGCTGTAACAAAAGGAAAGGTTTAATCCAAAACTTGGTGATTCTAATAGACTAATTCAAGTACCGGTGCTGGCTATAGCTATATCGTAGACAATTTGGGCTTGGCTCCCTTTTTTAGAAGCAGATATGGGGGAAAAAACAGATTTATGAATCATAATCGCTGGAAGGTCCCACTCGGCAAAATCGGTGTTCATTTGTACAGTTTCTAGGGACTGACGAATAACGACACTGAGTTATGAAAAACTACATAGTATGTTTCCACGCTATTGCCCTATGATTATTCTTATCTTAAAGAGAATGCCAATACACGGTCGGTCTTTCAAACAGATAAAGATCACATCTAGTCGTCAAGCATAAGTCCCCATCCAAACAGACATTGTATCACACTAAGATATAGCTTACCTGCGTCAAAAATCAAAGGTAAGCTGTCCAATTTTCGGAAATAAGAGGCGACTATGTTGTCTGTGTGCGTGTTACCCAAGTACAGACGTGTACGTGAGTGAAGACCCACCTAAAATACGTGACGGAGTTAATATCATGTCTCGTGAACCGTAACTAATGTGGCCGGCAACGCCTGTCAAATTTCCCCTGCTGTTCTTTGTTCTGTTTCAGTCTGACGTTCGTTGATGTTATCTAGTTCGTAATCGGTAGGGCATCAAGCAAAACATGTGAATTATATTGTTTTTATCCTATTTAAAGTACTAAGTAAAATGCGGTAACTTGAAATATGTGCTTTGATGCGAAGAATGGCAAGGTCACATAGTGTTTACCTGGGTATGCATTGCCTGTAGGAAAAGAACGTTATTCTTTTGTTCATGTTGACATTCTGTCTGTTCAAGGTCGAATAATTTTCCCCTGAGGGCTGCTGGGACGGAGGGAGGCTTGGAGTTGAGATCCGTTTGAAGTCCGGAAGTGACGTAGCTGTGTTTCCGGTTAGCGCACTTAAGACCTTATATTTGTTCGTTGGCCTTGGATTTACCTTGGCTTTGGCCTTGACTGCAGTTTTATATGGCTACATGAAAATACGTCGGTGAAGGTTAGAAGATACGCCAAAAAACATTATATGATATGATTTTGGAAACGGTCAGACGTTTCAGGTAGCATCCACTACTTTCGTCAGTGACTGAGAGACCAGAGGAGAAAAGTTTATAAACCTGCATTTCTCCTCTGGTCTCTCAGTCATTGAGGAAAGGTAGTTGATGCTACCTGAAACGTCTGACCGTTTCCAAAATCAGTAACTGTTTTTTGGCGAATGTTATCCATGCATCATTCTGACTAGGCCTTCTAACATATATGTTTTCTGTTTTGCCCTTTGCCCACTGTTTATTTTGCTACCAGTAGCTTATCACATTGTTTGCCTTTTACCTGGTTTCTGTTGTTATTTCAATGTTTGCCGTTTGATTAGCTGCCCCGACTCTCGGAATGTCCACGTGCTGTTACACACGCATGTTACCTAAACTCACAATTCTCAGGTTTAGCATCATGGTATAACAATCACGATGAATTCCTAATAAATGGCCCAGTATGATTGCATATAACCCTTTGTACTAGCTTTTACCAGGTTTCTGGAGCGGTAAACTGTACTCTTTAGCGGACCAACTCCCCTGGTATGTGATCTGACTATCTGACCAATTTCCAGCCGATTGCCAAAGCTTGGTTAGAGTCTATAGCTACTTTTATTCGTCATAGCAATCAAGAATAGGTCCCTTAGTGGTTACCAACATTTTAATAGTTTAAATATGCTCAGTAAATGAAATAATCTGCAGGAAATAGCTAAGTTCTCACAGCAGCTATCGTGGAGGACACTCATGTTGATTTCTTCAGAGTATTTGGCATATGTGGCCGGATGAAAGCTGGTGGACTTTGTAGCAATGTTTTTCCTCCCGGCGAGGTCTCATTCGTCGCCAGTCGTCGAACGATTTTTTTGTCGCCTTAGGCCACACCGACTTAATTTTATGTATGACATCCTCTGAAGACCCCCAAACTAGTGCGCGCGGACGAAAAAAAAAGAAAAATCCGGCCCAAAATAAAAATGCTACTAAACCACAGTAATACAAAGCCGGTATTGTGAATTTGGCGCATTACATAGCGAAGTATACGACAAGCCGGTACATGCTGTTTTTTTGCGGAATTTATGAATCAGCACTGTACGTATGTACTGAGGTCTTGAGTCGTGGAGCTTCGGTAGCCTGCATGGGTGCCGTCCTCCAGAGTTACCACCGGCTTCGTTGTCGCTTACCACCATGGACTACCCGGGCCTAAAACCAGGCCAGAGCCTCGGAAGACGTGGTCTTTTTTTTTTAGATCAGGTAAAAATCAATGCGCGCGTGGATGTCATCCATAAAATTAAGATGGTGTGGCCTTAGTCTTTCCGACCGGGTGTTGACAAGGCCATGTAAGTATGTCATGTCCTATTATAGGTGATAGGCATTTGATCTATGTGAACTTTGAATTTGCATGTATACTCATGAGCTATTGTTGAAGCTATAACAATGATGGATGACTAAATGAATGAGTGTTTGGATGAAAGATCTTAATGCTAAGTGTTTGCTCTTACGAGCTAAGTAGGTCGTGCACGTGTGTAAAGCAGAAGTAACATAACAGAAAACTATCTTACTACACCTCTTCAGACTTGTGACAAATACTATGTATACATGTAGGTTCATATAGTAAACACGATTGTTGAAAATCGGCCAAAGGTACCAAAGAGTGTACTTTAAACGTTTATTCAAGGTTGAATAAAGATTTTTAAAAAAGATTGTGAACGTCCTTGGGATAGATGTGAAGGTGACACCCGGCAGAAAGCTTTAGATTTAATGGCGGCGGTAACTCTGGAGGATGGCACCCAGGCTACCGAAGCTCCACGACTCAAGAACTCAGCACATACGTACAGTGCCGATTCATAAACTCCGCAAAAAGCCAGCATGTGCCCGCTTGTCGTATACGTCGCTATATACTGACGCAAATTCACAATACCAGCTTTGTATTCCTGTGGTTTAGTAGTATTTTTATTTTTGGCCGGATTTTTTTTTATTCGCCCGCGCGCACTAGTTTTCCGGTTTTCAGAGGATGTCATCCATAAAATTAAGACGGTGTGGCCTAATTTTTCCTGCCTAGACAGTGTGAACCACCAGCTGTGTCGCGGTCATCGACAAGGCCCTTTCAGTGAGCTGTGTCAAAGTCAAGCGTCATTCACGTTCCCTACGTGACTCAAAGCACGTTTCGTGACTCTGCCCATGTTCCTAGCCTCTACCAGGCACCGCGGATCGCTGGAAAAATATTAGAAATTGGCCGAAATAAAGGGATGGTATACCAGAAAAGATCCCGGGTCATAGAAGGTCCAATTTGCGACCGTAGGAACTTCACTCTGGCCAGATCTTCTCTGGTACACAATCCCTTTTGTTTCGGCCAATTTCTGATATTCTACCAGCGATCCGCGGTGCCTGGTAGAGGCTACCATGCTCCCACGGCAGAGCTATCCCGCGCCAAATACGAAGGCTGTTTAAATTTACGCCGAAGAAGAACCTCTGCCTTGGGAGAATGGATTCTGCTGCCATACCATCTTCGTGTGACAAACCTCGTACAACAGACATGCATGTGACCGAGTCATCACATACTACTTGCGTAGGAGGATGTTCAAGTCTTTAACACCCGACGTTAGGCTGCATGAAAGGGTCACATCTGCTAAAGGACTTTCCTCGGGCACAGTTCGAACGAACGAACCCGTATATTTCGTCAGTTGTCTCTACCACGACCAGTAAGAGATTAGCTCTTCGTCAATGAACTAAAATGGTTCGAGATCACTTTTAATAACTAAAGACTCTGGACCAGCATCTTTGAACGTTTGCTGCACGTCTGGTGAAAATTTTAAACTTTAAGAATTTGATAAGATTTTCTAGCATGCCTTGCGGAAGCCGATTGTTTGGTCTGTGACTAACTCAGTTGCGTAATCACCAAACTGTTTAAATACAAACTGGGTCGACTTTCCGGGACACGCGTAGGAAGTTCTGGACTAGGAGGTGTGCGAAGCGGAGAGAGTGTACGAAAAGATTTTTAAAAGTTTCTGCACTGAAAACCATTGACAAGAATCACCGTTGATCGAACATCATGTCTGCTATGTTGGATCTTCTGCCGTTGTCGCCAACCTGGGTGCTTCTAGGACTGTGTCTACTGCTGTACTATCTGTGAGTACGCTGTAGTAACTTAACAGCTACTTGAAGTATCTCTGCACACTTACTCACTGTCTGCGTCGAGCTCGCTCGAAGTCTCCCCATTACTGTCTGTTTCCATTTCTCTCTATCTTCCATCGCAGCAGACAGTTGACTTAGAGTCATTCCACTGTCAGCCTCTAGTTGCTTTATGTAACAAATGTGGTCTTCCACGACTTCTCTTATCAATGACTCGGATTCCACAGTAAGAGTTTGTGTGCTATCTCATTCTTGTTCCTCCAACAGTGGCCTACAAAACGTAGTTTCCTTTGTCGTATTGTTTCAGCAATCGGCGGTATGTTTTTGTACAGCTCACGGTTTGAAATTCTGTGTCCCTGAGATGTGTGCCGACCTCTGCAAGTTCTAAATGGAGTCGCTTTCTTCTAATTTGTAAGGGTGTAACTGTTAAATATGGGCGACGAATGAAAGTTTTTCGGACTTTGGTTTCTTTCTAGTAGATTATTCAGTTGGGCATGAAATAATTCTGGTACAATTTGGACGCAAAGGTTCAATTTTCTTGCCCTTTTTAAATTAGCATTGACTATGTACCCTGCTATATAGCTACTCACTGAAGAACAAGACAATGTGAAGATAATAACAGTAGAACATGTATTCCGATTTTCTGACACAGCTGAATTGTCCCACGTACACGTGTACTAGGTAGATATCAACACCTAACTGATGTCGGTAAATATTTGTTCACCTCGACAAAAACTGTGTCGACTTACAGAACTTTGGCCACCCATATGCTTACGAGCGATGCTCCTATAGATACAGTGATGTTGTTGTTTTTTTGTTCGAAGCGTACAACTCGCTGCTTGTTGTCTTTACGTGTACAATCTCTGCACTTTGAAGAGATTAGTTTTAGACCGTCGCACGTCGAAGCAATACCCGTGGCGTACTTGCCAAGCAGAGGGTTAGGCCTTGGTTTGTTTTTGACGTGTTTAGGGGTGTTTTATCGGGCTTTCTTTTTCGTACTGGTATTTTTTCGCGCTAGCTCTTCAGGTGACAAATGGGCACTGCCTGCCTATATGTGATACTGTCTCGCAGCCACCAAAAGATCTGCTTGGAGAGTATCCCTGGCCTGGCGCTCTTATCAGTATTGTTTTGTTGTTTGCTTTAATGGCCTGGGTTCGTATCTCTTGTCAACACGGGATGTCCGCTTAACGTCCCAGTTTAAGGGACACGGACCTTCGAATTCGGTGCACGAATCGGTAAAGACAAATAGAATGGAGTCCCGGACCACCTGGCGCATGATAGGAAATACTCCGTTCGCCCTATGAAAAGAAATGTAAGAAAAATCACCACCAAAGTTAGGATTCTCACACTACTAATTCACTGAATATTACTAGTATCATAAGACGGGTGCAGAAGTAGGAGGATATTCAAGTCTTTAATACTCGACTTGTACGCTGCAGAAAAGGCTTAGGGTCGCAGCCGTTCGTTGAACTCATCAAAAGTGCTATTAAAGGACTTTCCCCGGGCACAGTTCTTAACTTGTTTTCGCGAACGAATTACAATGAACAAGGAGGTTAAAATTTAACCTCCTTGCAATGAATGCACCCGTACATTTCGTCCGTTTTCTCTACCACCACCAATGAGAGATTAGCTGTTCGTCAATGAACTAAACACCTTAAATGATTGTAGAGCTTTAAACATGCTTAGTTACTATTTTTCTGGCATCATTATTCGCTTACAACAGTTAGCGTTGCCACGTACACGTGCCATCAAGTGCACAATATGGAAATAGTGCAGTTTGCACAGTATAATAATTATCCCTGGGGCTTTTATCAGTATTTGTTCTTTTCTTTAAACGCAAAAATGGCCTTGATGCCTGCCTCTTATCAGACACTGGATGTCCGCTTGTTCAGTGCACGTAAGAACGCATAAAGATGGCGTGAGCGAGCGCGCGATGGCATCAGCTTCTGGTAAATATTTACTGGAGGAAAGGGGGTAGCTGTGTGAGTTATTTCTTAGCGATTGTTTGATTGGAAGGTGACTTTAAACAAATATAGCGACGCACGTAACACCTTAATTCGTTTTTTTTTGTAAGAAATGTGAAGGACGTGTTCTTGAGGTTTTCCGTAAATGGGACCAAGGACATAGCCTGTTTGCCAGCTAACGTCACACTGTGCTACAGGTGGATTTTCTAGGTTATTTCAAGTTTCTTCCTCTTCATGACCAACTTGCACATTTAACACTCCTTATGATTTTGCGTGCCTGGAACAAGTGACTGTACTGGTAGAACTGTACAATCATTATGGATGTTTGGTTTCTAGAATGTTCATATCGCTGTGCTTAGAAAACATGGCGACCACTTGTTCAATATTATTAGATCTTATAGGAATATCCTGTACGTAAGATTCTTACCTGCATATTATTCCCTCGTAGATATGTAACATGGCCTTTCTACACGTTCAAGAGACTCGGCATCCCTGGCCCCTCACCTGTGCTGTTTTTTGGGAACATCCTCAGCTACAGAGAGGTCGGTAACGTCGTATTTGAATTGGTCGACTGGTACAATCGTTCTACGGCGTAACAAACATTGATAACATCAGTACACATAGCCGTGACTCTTGGGGGTCTTTTTCATGCTCAACTAGTTTTGCAGTTCTATCGTTGACTAATTCAGTGAGCTCATTTTATTGTCGCTGAAGAAGAGTGCTGGATGTCACTTGAAACATCTGGACGTAATCTCCGTGGTTTATCCAGTACTAGAGTTTGAATTTTCTTTGAATTTTGCCTACCTGGATGTCTATCCTTCTTCGAGGTAGAGGTAAAGATGGTTTAGTAAGTCTATAGCCCGGTGTTTAGTTTGTTCAGAATCAATGATCTTTATCCTTAAACTATTTCCATTCCAGGGATCTCACATCTTCGACTGCAAATGCTACAAGAAGTACGGCAAAGTGTATGGGTAAGTGGTATGCAAATACAGATGGAGTTATCACAAAACTAATGGGGCAACTTAGAACGTATAGAGATTATCAGGGAAATCTAAATAAGGAATGCAATGTGATGAATGGATAATATGTCAGCATTAGTTGAAGAACTCTTTATTGAGTTTTTCTAAGCAAAGATGACTTCAACCCTCTAGTCCTCATGTTATCATGCAGTTGGTACCTTTCGGTGTGTTCGTTTGTGTGCCCGTTATGATTTGAAAAAAAAAAAACAGTAGAGAAGTGATGGGGAATGGTGTAACCACAGACTGTCAGGGATGGTCGAATTAGTCTTTCCATAGGTTGGAGCAAGTGGCAGTGAAATATGCACAGAATCAAAGAGAAATTCACAATAAAGAATAAAGCAAGACTTTTACAACAGCCCCTAAGTACTAAGTACTTAACGTAGGTCTGAAATATTAATCTGTACAATTCTTTGCTCAATCCTTTATCTTGCAGGTTTTTTGAAGGCCGCGAACCTATGCTGATGGTGGGTGACCTGGAGCTCATCAAAGAGATCACAGTCAAGCAGTTTAACAACTTCAGCAACCGGAGGGTGAGCAATATGCGGAAAATGTCTTTCAGCATTTTACTCTTGGTCTTCCACTGTGAAAATTGTGTATGTTTAGCTTTAGAGGTCCATTTTGGTCCAGTGGAGAGGGGGGGGGGCATCTTATCTAATCTCGAAAGCAGATCCGGGAAAGAGAAGGTTCGTGGCCAATGTACCTACTCTTCGACTGCAGTTACAGTGTTACTAAGCAAACAAGAAAGAAGGAATTATATTTTGCTGTGTTATATCCTATCAGCTTTTTCACATGGCAGCTACCAAAATCATAACTTAAATGCTGATGTTGACTTTTTTCTTTTACAGGATCTAGGATCCCTCTTGGAAGCGTTTGCAGGCGGCCTCTTCGTTCTCGAGGACACGGACTGGAAGCGGGTTCGGGGCACCATCTCTCCCACCTTCAGCTCAAGCAAACTCAAACAGGTACGTTAAACTTTGTTAGTGAACAATCTAATCGGGTTGCTGAATTAATGAATAGCAAAGGTCTTTGGAACAGCATTATTAGCAGTAATATCTACACAGGACACAGTGAATCAGCCACTATTGCCCCGATGAAGCTTAAGATTTAGAATAGAAAATGAAGCTGAAGATGACAGACTACTAGTAAAGCTTCGGTCCCAAATGCGCCGGTGCCCGTCGGGGATGTAGCCCCAGCCGGCCCCGGGAGTCTGGCGGGCGTCGGCTGTAGTGGTCACAATTAAAAGTTTCCTTCAGTAGCATTTAGTTAAAATTTTGTCACCCTCTTTGGCCGGTCTCCGGCAGGCACCCGGCAGGTACCCGGCAGATTCTCTGACAATGTGTCTTGTACTGACCTATACGTAATACAGAATTCACGCTTTTGTTGTGATCATTTGATCTGTGACGTCACATTTTTTCCCGATTTTACGAAGTACACACCTTTACTCTGTTTATCTGGTCTGTGACGTAAGAAATGTGTCCCGGTGGACTGCCGGCAACCGGAGGGGTACCTCTCGGTGTTCTCACGGTGAGGTCACGGCGTCTTTATGTCAGCGGGACCCGGGTAGAATTAAATTCTTCTCGGGTCCCCGCCGGGCCCCAAAATAGCCCGGTAGCCGCAGGGTGTCTAGTGGGGCCACGTACGGGTCACGCCCGAAAGTGCAAAAAAAACAGCCCGGGGACTACCCGGCAGGGCCCATTTTTTCAATTGGGACCGAAGCATAACTTGTCTCGTGTTCATACAGATGACCATGCTTGTGGAGAGTTGTGCAGATGGTCTAGTCTCTATCCTCATGGAGAAGCAGGAAAAGGGCATCATGTTCGACCTGAAAGAGTGAGTATCTGGAGAGCAGCCAGTTTCTAAAGAAACTAAACTATATCCGGGGGTCCGAAATCTAATCATTTCCAGGTCTCAGCAAGACCTACCTACCTACCATCTATCAAGACGATCCACATAAATATTGACACACGGACACACACACACAAACAGTAATAACACCTAGATTGTTGATCTAAACATCTGGCAACTGCACATAACGTAAGAATAAGCTTCCATCTATATGTTGGACCAAGCAGGTTTTAAACCTCCATGGTTAGACCAACAGTCATACCGGAATTATTAGAACTTAAATTTGAACCTGAAATTTGAACTTAAATCCGATTAACCTTTATCTGCATGTAGGGTTACCTCCGCATATGCTCTGGACGTGATTTCCAGCACGGCCTTTGGTGTGGAGGCCGACTCTCTCCATAACCCCGACCATCCTTTTGCCGTCCACGCCAAGGCAATCTTCAACATCAACATACTCAAGGGACTTTTCTATGTCATCCGTGAGTGTCACACTTACCCTGTATCCTTCCATCCATGTATTTGTATCTGTTACGATCTTTGAAGATCCTCATATGTTACTGCTGTTGTTATATACGTACTTTAATTCACCAATGATAAAATTTACAATACAATCGGTCTATCCACTGTACTCCTGAATTCTGTCTCAGTTTATAGGACGCCACGATACAACAGATAGAAACTCATTCATGAACTTCGTGCGCAAGATTCTGATACCATGTAACATTCATGTGTACATGTGGGCTTGATTGTGACTCATTTCTACATTGTTTTATACTCTGTTTCATTCCAAATCATACTCTCACACCGTGGGTCATATTTCAATTTGAAGGCATACAAATCCACTTCAAAGGTCTTCATCATGTTGTAAGTGGTCTAACTCATATACTACTTTGTATTTTCTACTGCAGTGCCGCCTCCATTCAACTACGTATTCAAGAAGGGTGGATTTTCCCTCTTCCCAAAGTTTGCCACGGAGTTTTTCCAGCGCACTGTCCGGAAGGTCATCGAGATGAGGCAGAGCAACCCTGACGAAGCTGTAAGTTTCCACTTCTAGAAAAAAAAAGGATCTCAGCGAATAACCAACCAACGTCAATCCACACAAATAATATTATACTAGTAGTACCTTGTGAACTCGATATTCCCTTGTGACATCTTAAGCACAGAAGGAACTTCATTGTAACTACACTTACAACCACATACCAGCTCTCAATCGTAAACCCTACGTAGTTTGCACCATGTATATATAAAATATGTGTATAGATTTATTAAGACTTTCAATAATGTAAACTGTACCTTTGACCTCACTGAAAAGCTGACTGCAGGCTGATTTGAACTTCTTATGAATAAACAAAGGTCCTAACAAACTGAATTTAAGACCCTATGAAGATGAATGTAAAATTGAGTATTCAATGTCGACTTGCTATTTAAATACGACTGAACATGAGAATTTATGTTTCTTCTTTCAAGAAACGCGTGGACTTCCTCCAGCTACTTCTCAACGCTCACAATAAGTCTCTGGACGAGAAGACGGGCGAAGGAATTGCTAAGGAAGGCAAGTATAGTTTTTTTAACGACAAAACAAACAAGTATGTTTGATCAGTTCCAAACGATCAACATATCTTTATCCTAAAAAGTTTTTTTAGGAAGTTGGGAACATCGTGCACTAGCACTGCCTTGCTCCATCCAATGTCCCCCAAACCTGCGTGTCTCTTAAATGCACTGGTATGCCTTCTGCTTTGTGGCAGAACAAACTAACTAAACGCTAGGAATCTATAATATCCAAGCATATATTTTTGGTGGGTGAAAAGACAATAACAAATTGGCCAGGCAGGATCCATTTGCTTGAGAGTATCCAGCACCTACCGTCTGGCAAATGGATACTGTCTTGTCACCAACCCAAAAGATCTGCTTCGAGATTAAAGGATCTACACATATCCAGGTCTGTCCATGACTGAGGTGATTGGGAACTCCATGCTCTTCTGGCTTGCCGGATACGACACCACAGCTAACACCATCGCTCTCACGGCCTACAACCTCGCCTTCAACCAGGAGGCTCAGGACAGGGTCATGGAGGAGGTCGACACAGTCGTGCAGAATCGGGTGAGCTTCTCTTGGATCTATTAAATGTAGTACGCACGGCGAATGTTCAAGCTATGAGAAACTTTCAGCTGGCATCCGCCATCTTTCATCAGCTAATGGGATGATGAAAGAGACCTAGGATCTCGTTGGTTTTTGTTGAAAAAGCCACGGCTCAACCTTCAATATATAACCTGATTAGGGGTCTGCGTAAAGATTTAATAGTAAGTGCAGGGGTAAAATGCAAGATGCTATATGTTACAGATAGGGACAAGGAACCAATATGCAGGCCAGCAGATTACATACCTCTTGCAAGCTTGTCGTCTTAAGGAATTCCCATAATGTTTACCAGTACATACCTACATATTGGTGGAACATCGCATAAAGTAACGTTACATCAGAATACAACATTGTCCTCATCGTTCACACAGGGAAAGCTGGATTACGAGGCAGTGAACGAGATGCGGTACTTGGACATGTGCGTGAACGAGACCCTCAGGATCTATCCTGGTGCAAAACGGTCAGTCCTTTATTTCTGAAGGCTGTGTATCGTATTACGTAGACAGAGAGTTTGCATCCTTGCTTTTTGTGTTAATCTGATTTCCATCCACGATTCACTCATGACTGTTGTATCAGATCATACATGTAATAGAATATTGAGTCTTTAAATTTTGGCCAGTGTATATAGGTAGAACATGTCACTCATTGACAGGTGTATTAGTGGCTCGATGAGCCTGGGCAAATGAATTGATGGCATAGCAGCCTTATGCCTTCTCTGTAGTCACTGGATAACCAGTGATAAATTCAATTTAATTCAAGTTTTCAACGTGCTGGCCAGTTTAGGGGTCAGCAGAACTGACTGGAGAGCGCTGGCAGAAAACAGAACATCCTGGAGGGACATGTCTACAGCCGCTATGCATCTGCCCTGATGCTTGTGGTTGATTGAATTCAATATTCATTGAACTGTTCTGTGTTCGCCTTTAGGTTTGATCGTTTCTGTAAGGCGGACACGGATGTGAAGGGTCTGCACATCCCGGCGGGAACCATCGTGAACATCCCCGCCTACGCCATCCACCACGACCCGGAGCTCTGGCCGGAACCGGAGAAGTTCAAACCCGAGAGGTACCCGATACATTTTGCTAGATTAAAGTCTGCTTTCATCCCATCAGTATGTTTTTTAATCACAGATGAAAGAAGTATACACTGGATATAATAACCGGGCGCTTTAGCTACTGGCTTTTTGATAACCCTTATTGTCCTGTGGCAATTGCAATGAAGTCAAGGCCAACCCTTGGCTCCTTTATTCAGCTCAGTGTTTAGTGAACTCTTGCACACCTTGCCACTGTCAAGGATGCGGTCCCAAACGTGACCGAATTCTACTGCTCCGTGCTACTCCGTGTACGTCAAAAAGCGACAAGGACCAGCAGAACCCGGTTACGTCTGGGACCGCATCCTTGCCACACTTTCACCATTGCGGTTGTGCATCTGAGTGCCCCAACCTTGGTCTCTTTCGTACATGAATCAAAACACTCCTTGTTACGTGTCGTTTTTTTCTCAACCCAGATTCTCTAAGGAGGCGCAGGAGTCACGTGACCCGTACGCCTTCATGCCGTTCGGCTCCGGGCCCAGGAGCTGTCTTGGCATGCGCCTCGCCATGCTGGAGATCAAACTCGCGCTGGCCAGAACTCTGGAGAAGTTCCGCTTCGTCACCTGTGAGAAGACTGAGGTAACTTTTGCTGACCTGTCGCTGTCGCTTACTTTAATCACGGATCTCATGAGAGAGACAAAGAAAGAGAGAGACAGAGACAGAGAGACAGAGAGAGAGAGACAGAGGGACAGAGGGATACAGAGAGCACTTAACATTCATATTGTCATTATAGTATGGCTGTCTCTTTCCAAACAGTCGCCATGTCAATTTTGAAGTGCAATACAAGGAAAACATAACCTACGATGTTGTAGCTAAAAGTGGCTTATCTAGAATGTAGAGAATGTGGCTTATTTGGTTGATGACAACATTGAAATAGGGCTGCTTGGAAAGAAATAGCCATAATGTAATGACAATGTGGTACACAGTGGTTTCTATCTTTCTCCTCTCACTTTATCCTTCTCTCTCTCTCTCCCAGACCATAACCAGTTCCACCCTCTCTCTCTCTCTCTCTCTCTCTGTGTGTCTCTCTACATTTAAGCACTATGGTTTGTCAGGCATACCTGTACTCTACATATGAGGCATTGCTGGTTTTGTAGATGATTATTCTAGCTCATGAACTACTCATACTGAACCTACGTCTTTGTTCTTTCCAGTCTCCCCTCCGTCTGGAGAACAACAACGGGAACCAGGTGACGGGCGGCGTGTGGCTCAAGGTGGAGGCCCGCACACACGTTCCACGGCACCGGATGTCGTCAGCCTGAGCAGTTGGTGACTTGCACGCCCTAACACAAATTTGATTTGCGTGACTCTTGCTTTCATAATTAGAATATAAGTTATTATGCAGAACGTGGGGCTATTATCCACTGGCTTAAAGAAGAAGTCAAACCACATAATAGGAAGCGTAGTAGTAGAAGTATAAGTTTTCCAGTCTGTTATTGTATTGTACCGTATAGTATCTTTAAGCTGTAAAAGCAATTAGCCTTCGGGCATGATTTTGCAAATAAGGACAATCATTGTTATAATACCTATTTAGTAATATAATAAAAATCGTTCTTTATCTACGAAACTTTTTGAGCAATATGTCAAATCCTTAGTTGCCATGTCTTTATATGGTGCGGCCACATGAATCAAATAATGTGTAATGTCGAAGAAGGCAAGACATTTGATTTAGATATACAAGAAAACTGTTATTCAAGATTTTGAAAACTGTCAAACATTCCAAGTAGCACCCAATACTTTTCGTCAGTGACCTGCGGAAACTGCAGTTAAACAGGCATTTATCTAAAAACTTTGTATTTATTAGGCGAAGACAAAGTTTAGACAGTCCTTTGGAAATGTGAAATATCATTGTGAGACTGTGACCACTAATATTCTATCGAAATAAACTCATATTGAGTCCTATATAATAATTGTTTTGCTGTGTTCTTTGAGATATGCGTTTTGTCTCTATTTCAACCTATTCCCCGATAGACATACTAGTATTTAGATTCTCTTTTATCTCATCAATTCAACGACTGGCATTTCGTTATATCCAGTTTTGTTTGATCTGAAATAAAATAAAAACATAGATACATGTAGACAGATAGCCTTTATTGTACATGCACATTCAAGCCCGTTCGGGCTAAGCACAGACATACATGTACACATACAAAAACAGTAGATAAGTACATATATTGACAGGACTTCTAATGCCAATCTATAATATGGGTCCTAGAACTAATACATAGGTTCGGCTCCATCTTGTCTCTTGGTGATGTTACTTTAACGAAATATCAAATAACACAAGGGTAAAAAAGGTAAAGGTAGTCACGTAAAAGAAAATGGCTTTAATACTTAACCCCTGCTTTAAGGAATTATCAAGACTTCCGGCCCCTTGGCCCAGCAGTGCGGGTCTCCAGTTTCAGCCAGACGCCGCCTTCGACCTGGTTCCCGTTGTTGTTGGCAAGACGAAGGGGAGCCTAGAAAGAAGGAGCCTCCGTTAGATATCGAAACATACTTGGTGAAAAATAACCGTGCCTATCTAGTTCTATAACTAATGGGTAAGGGTTAGGATTAAGCATGCTCCTGGATAGTCTAAGCGTTCTAAACGTAGATTTGGCCCAGGCACGGTTCTGGCTACGCGTAAACTACTCAGGACCGTGCATGTGCATGGTTCTGGATAATACATGGTCCCGGATACAAATAGAGCAACATCCAGGTGACAAATACACGACACTACGACAGTGACAGTTTAAGTTACCTCAGTCTTCTCGCAGGTGACGAAACGAAACTTCTGTAGAGCTCTGGCCAGCGCAAGTTTGATTTCCAGCATAGCGAGACGCATGCCCACACAGCCTCTAGGTCCGGCACCGAAGGAGAGGAAGGCAAACGGGTCCCGGGCCGCCACCTCTTCCTTAGAGAACCTGGGCAGAAGAAGTCACAATGAAAAATCAAAACTAGGAAGCTAGATTGTGTGTACACTATTTTCAGAAGAGGAGCAAGGGGCCAGACCAAATCAAGTTCAACCTCTCTATCTCTGTGGTTCTTTCTTTATTTCTATCAATCTCTCTTTCTCTCTCTCTGTCTTTCTCTGTTCATCTGTTTCTCTATGCCTGTGCCTCTGTGTCTGTTTGTATGCCTTTCTCTACCCCCCTCTTCTCTTTCGTGTACGCTAGAAACAATACTTTTGTCTGAAGTCTCAGTATAAGTCTGGTCTAAAGATCTTATCCTATTTGCATGTACAGTACAAAATCGATGTGTGGAGACGGTTTGCAACTTATGCAAAACAAAAAAACAAAAAAACAAACAAACAGAAAATAAACCTTTCTGGCCTGAACTTGTCGGGTTCCGGCCATAGTTCAGGGTCATGGTGGATTGCCCAGACGGGGAAGTTGATGTTGGTTCCGGCTGGAATGTGGAGACCGTTGATGTCAGCATCCTCCCGGCAAACTCGGTCAAACCTGAGGAAGAATCATAGTATCATAAGCAAGTTTGTATGTTTGTTTGTTTGTGAAGTTCCATTCATTTATGAGTAGCTCAGTAGACAATGTTGAGAAAAAGCTCAAAGCAAGAGTAAGTCACAAGCACCTTTTAATAATGCACAGCACAAGCTGTTTAAAGAGAACAAACGCTCGAACCAACCAACCAACCAACCGACCGACCAACCAACCAACCGACCGACCGACCAACCAACCAACCAACCAACCAACCAACCAACCAACCAACCAACCGACCAACCAACCAACCAACCGACCAACCGACCAACCAACCTCTTTGCACCAGGATAAATCCTCAGTGTTTCGTTGACACACATCTCCAGATACCGCAGCTCATGGCCAGCCTCGTAGTCCAGCTTCCCCTGAGATAGATAGATAGAGAGAGAGGGGGGAGAGAGGGAGAGATGGATAGAGAGAGACGAAGAGAGGGAGAGAGAGAGAGTGATTTTAGTGAATGGCATGGTGGAATAGGTGTTCATATTAGGTCATCTTTTCAAAGCCACCATGCCAACATAGTAATACATACCACCCTAATACATTACATGTAAATACACTTATCGGGGTCTCGTAGCATGGAAGGTGGCAGGCACAAGGCAATAGCCAAGGCTGATCTACACTGAAGGTTTGGTGGAATCTCTTCAGCATGAGCATTTTCGTCGATAAATCAAACTTCTAATTATCATAAGCAATTCCTGAGTCATAATGACATTATTAGTAGCTTACAACAAGAGACTATTTTTTGGTGTTACAAGAAAATGATCCAGAGAAGCTCACCCGATTCTGCACGACTGTGTCGACCTCCTCCATGACCCTGTCCTGAGCCTCCTGGTTGAAGGCGAGGTTGTAGGCTGTGAGAGCGATGGTGTTGGCCGTCGTGTCGTAACCTACCAGCCAGAAGATTAAAGAGTTGCCTACGATCTCTTTCATGGACAAACCTGGATGGTAGATGGAAATATGAAACTGGTTTCATTGTCATTGTTTTTGGTACTCAGTCGGAGCAATCTTTCAAAGACCAAACACAGCAAGACAATGGACTTGGAATATTTTTCATCTTACGTTGACAGATGTATGATAATAGTTGCACCAACAAAATGTTAGACATATCAAATTTTAGCATTCCATGTTGGTCTTTTTGACTGCAATAAAAATCAATTAGTCAGACTTTTCGTGCTCACCACCAGTTACTTCGTCTGTCGTCCCGTCTCTGTGCTTGTTGTGGGCCTTCAGCAGTAGTTGGAGAAAGTCTATTCGTTCCTGGAAAATTGGACATGTTAGAAAATTGTTGTAAAAGTAGCGATGCAAAATCTATAGTTCGGTAACAAATACATATATGACGATAGCTTGATTTCATATACATGTTTAATCTCAAGTTTTGGTAAATTCGTTTAATCTCAAGTTTTGGTAAATTCAGGATTGTGAAAATTTGATCTTACGGTATCATCCATACTGCCTTCTCTAGTCTTGATGGCCTTTTCTATGGTGTTCTTGAAAAAGTCCGTGGCAAACTTCGGGAAGAAGGATAAACCCCCGATTGTGAATATGTTGTTGAATGGAGGCGGCACTGTGGATGTAGCAGAAAAAATATACCAATGCATCAAATTATGCAAAAGTCACAAGTACAAACAATATTAATGTTTTCACAAATCATATACGATGGGTGTAGAACCTTCAAAAATCAGGGTGGAATTGACTTGACCAATTATAAAAGTGTTAGATTAGAACTTTGACTCGCCATACAAAATCACTCACTTTTTTTTAATGTGTTAGATGTTTTAGAATCTCTGACTTGTCGTACAAAACCTTAATTCAGGCTTGTTCTGCAATATTTTAAATCTTTAAACCATTACTAAACTAAGTGATTATGACGCGTACCCAGGATATAAGCATACACTTTCAGCATATTCATGTCGAATATTGCTTTTGCGTGCGTGACAAAAGGATGGTCTGGGTTGTGGAGAGAGTCGATGTCCATACCGAAAGCTGTGCTGGAGATCACGTCCATGGTATAGGCGGAAGAAATCCTAAGGAAGGAAAACATGTTACATTGTGATGATGATAAGCATAAACAATTCCTTTTCTTCGATTGAGATATAATTGAGGAGTTGTTATTGATACCACTATTGTTTGTTATACTATGTTGGACTAAAACTAACTTTTCCCCCCGTATATAATTTCATGAGCTTTGTGAATGATTGGATAGCAAAGTTCTCTTTTCACAACCACTTGTTTTACAATAGCTCTTATTTATTTTCTTACTCATCCACTCACTCATTCACTCACTCACTCGCTCACTCGCTCGCTCGCAACTATTCGTTTTGGAGCCCTTATTTACATATCCATTAAGAACCACTTGTTTAAAGAAGTTGTGAATAAATAGCCTTGCTATCTTAAGTTACTAAAAATCCTCAGCAACAGCATGGAATAAACACTCACTCCTTCATGTCAAACATGACTCCCTTTTCCTGTTTCTCCACAAGGCTGGACACCAGACCGTCAGCACACTTCTCCACAAGCATGGACATCTGCGGGGATACATGGGCTTGGTTACAACAACAACAAAAAAACTGTGTCTACTCTAGTATTCTGTGATTGTAACTTGTTTTACTATTACGCGTTCTTTTATCGTATCACTAATGCTAGCCCGCGTTGTATTAATCATTAGGAAGTTATGTTTATTCTGCATTTTTCTGTACCATATTCAATTGTTTTTGCCATGTACAATTGTTATGCAATAAAGTTTTCTATATTCCTATTACCATTTGCCCAAGTACAAATCATAATAAGCAACCACTTCTCATCATGATCGATCAGCAACACCTCAGTCCTTAGTCCCCTTACTGGATGCTGTACCTGTTTGAGTTTTCCCGAACTCAATGTCGGCGTGATGGCGCTCCGAACCCGCTTCCAGTCAGCGTCCCTGATCACGAACAAGCTACCTGCAAACGACTCCAAGATGGATCCTAAATCCTGAGGAATAATAGATTAGAGTAGTCTAAACATCAGGACTGTTTCTCCAAAGAAACAGCTACTCAAGCAACTGGATATGATTTTTCCAAAATCTGTGTTTTGCGTATCTTATTATATAGTACCTGAATGTCTAACCTTCACCGACGTAGCAAGACTGTTTCTTTATATTCAATGACCAATGATAGATTTTTACAAATGTTCCTATCGTTTTTTATAATCTAAATTAAAAGACACGAAAGGCTTGGTATTAACGGTAGTGAAGATCACATGGGAAAGCTGATCATGTATAGATAACACTGTAAAACCACAATGGAAACCGGCCCAGGAGTAAAGTGTATATCACTCACCATTCTATTGTTGAACTTGTGGAACTGCTTCACTGTAATTTCCTTGATGAGCCCCAAATCACCGATCATCAGTACAGGCCGCCGGCCTTCGAAGATTCTGACACAAAAAGGTAACAATTTTGCATTTGGAGATTTGATACAAGCAACAAAGACAGAGACAACTCTACGAAAATACGCACATAATGATTTATTTGCTGTGACACAATAGCAGATCACATTGCACTGACAAATTGTTTAAAACTTTTCACCGTACATATTGAGATCTCTTGTACAACAACAACAACTGAGCCTCATTGTGCACAGTACTTACCCACAGACTTTCCCATACTTCTTATAGCACTCCATATCGAAAACGTGTGATCCCTGGTGTGGGAAAGAATTGGAGATAAGAATCATTCATTTGAAGGAGGTACAAGTAGGTTTGAATAGGCATACTGCATACTCAATATGCCATGTATTCAGATAATACATATGTGGCCTCTGTCCTGTTATCCCCTTTGTGTACCATGTATTCATTAACTTTGAACATGATTGGTTGTGACCTGCAACAAAGACGTTCCTGCCTTCTTTCCTTCCTTTCTTCCTTCCTTCTTTACTTCCATATTTTCGTCCTTCCTCCCTTCATCCATTCATTCAACCCCACCCACCCATTCATTCATTCATTCATGCATACAGAACACATACCTCCGAATACTTGAGGAGGTTGCCGAAGTTCAGTACAGGTTTCGGCCCGGGAATGCCCAGCTTCTTGAATTTGTTAAACGGCCATGTCAGGTATCTACGAGAAACGAAAAATATACGTTGGTATCTTATTTGTGACATTAACGATACACGCCGGATTTGCCTATATGGCCGGCCTATAAACTGAATAGGTAAGATTAAGATTTTATCTCTTTCCCAGCCTTGCGACAGCTGTACAACCAACCGAAAAATATGTTTGGGCAGTTATGGAAATGATATTTGTCCACACAAATTCTTCCATTGCTAAAATATATTGTGAAAACATACATGAAATATCAGTCATCAGGAGATATGAAAAGAAGCCCTTCAAATGCCTGGCGTCGCTCTGAGATTCAGAGCAGGGAAGATAAAAGCATATTTGTGCTACTGGAAACAAATATTTACTAGCATTAGTTAGTTAACTTTGTTGCGACCTACATAGCCAAGCATGTACTCTTGCCTCACGTGTTGACCCAGATGTTATGTTTTATTTACATCAACTTTTGTACGAACTGCCGATAGTAGATAGGGCAATGTTAGTGTGTGCTTAGAACTTCACATTTTTTTGAACGTCTGTTTATCATAAAGCTGACTAGTTGTGAATTTAAAAAGATGTACTTTTAATAGCATCTTAGAATCATCATTTTTTTCAATTATTGATTCGTATTTGGTCACGTCATGCCTAAAATAGAATACAGTACTTTGTTTGCAGAAAAAAATGGCTATTTTCAAGGCGTTATATTATTACCGCAGGCTTCATGCCAGAACATCCGTTCTTTGGTCAGGAAATTTGTTGAGCTACCTGTCAAATATTTGGTCACTCACCAAGCACGGTGCACCAAGTGGTCCTAACCAGTAGTGGAAAGGGGGTGTTAGTTAAAAACCACTTTATCGTACTTACAGATAGTAGAGCAGCAGACAAACTCCCAGAAGCACCCAAGTTGGCGACAACGGCAGCAGATCCACCATCGAAGACATGATGTTCCAGGGAGCTTTGTACTACGTTCAGATGTCCTAGTGCCCACCCGAGATACGGATAGACCCAGTCCGTGTATCACGCGCTGGTATGGTGAAGTCACAATCCAAACAGTTTCTGGTACGACTTACTGTTATTCATTAACGATTTCAATTGAATAAAGGAGCAAAGGTGTAAAATATAGGTCACTTATCCGTATTTTGGGATTATTTTATGTCATCCATACAGGTTTGGATGGAAAAAGCCCCCCCCCCCCCCCAAACTGCATTTGACATAGGAAATGCAAGTTACTGATACGATCATCCTTGCTGAACTTATTGCTAATGTTCACGTGGAATGATCTTAATGCATATGCGAACGACATGACCACGTTTGGCGTCACTGTCATATCACCTTATCTTAGCCTGGGTACCAGACTTTTGCCAGGGCCTGCACGTACTTACATACAGAGCAGCTCCTCGGCTTCAGGGCCAGGACTCCCCCTAGATACCCTAAAGTTAGACTCTAATACGTGATTTTCTTGGGGACATGTTCTGTATCAGTATAGCCTGTATAATCGCACTTCGGCGTACCACACCACACATGATGGCCCTAGAAGCGAGGAGCCCCTGTGTGTATTACGTGCGAAGAGACTCTGACAGTCTGGCACCCAGGCTAGATTTAAAGCAAAGGTCGAGGGTTGAGGACTTGGTTTCCTTCACCTTCATTCTACATATCCTACATGTTGCTAACCTATGGTAGAAGGGCAGGGACGATTGGATTTTTTTGTGTGTTTGTAAACCTTGGTCATTGTTTTCTCACGGGGGTTGGGGAGGGGGCACATGTTCTCAATCTATGATATTTGTATTTTCAACGTGTTTTGGGCTATTATAGATCAGGTGATCCTAGTGTAGACTCATATATAAAGATTAACCACACAGAGAATGAAATGTTAGTCGTAAAAGCAAGTTATTCAATTCATTGTATACTGAACCTATGGCCTTGGCTGTGTTAAAAGTATTAAGGACTGAACACGCAGCATGCCTGGTACCACTTCAATTTTTTTTTCAAAAACAACGTAGTCTAAAGCAAGCAATAACAAGAAGGGCAACAAGAAAAGTACATGTAATTCGGTTTAGTAAAACCATCATGGTAATTGACATCAAGGCCTCAATCAATTTACTACCTTTATATACCACCACGTTCAATAATATTTTAAGATTATCTAATAAGCTTATAATATCAATACGCTCTTCATTATTTAATCAATACATTTCTTAAAATGTGTCCTATGCTTATACGTATGATCCAAAACCAAAATGTAACAATGGCCACTTAGTGGTCGGATACAGTATAGGTGATAAAGCTCATCGTCGTCATCATGTACTGTGTTCTGCGTCTACAGTCGTGTGGAGATGTCCTAACAGCAATATATGAATCTACAGTAAGGACAAAATTTCTGAAAGGTTGCAGTTTACAGTGTTGCCGCGTGGGCACAACTTTGACGAAGAAAACTAAAAAAACATAGATGCACAAACGGCAGCTCTTAATCTGACAGCTAACACGTGTCACTTTTGGAAGTCAAACAAGTCAGAAGTGTTCTGCTGACGCTCTGTGTTCTGCTGTAGCCTCCTTGTCAGGCGTTCCAGGATCGGCCCTTTTCTTTTTTTTGGGGGGGGG